CCCTCAAAGTGTGTTTCGTGATATTATCACCATTCAGGTATAAGCAGTCGAAAACTTTGAATACTGGCCTAGCAGCTGTGGCCGAGAATGGATCCTTTCCTCCTGATATCGCGGCTGTCTTCAGAGTACCGAATGCCACTATCTTGTTCGTAATTGGATCCCACGTGATCATTTCGCCATCCAATATAATACTAGTTACTCTTGGATCGAAAGCCTTTTTCATATGTCTTGTCAGTGCTGCATTGTCGTCTTCGAAACTATTTCCATAGAGATAGGTATAATCTTTGCCTTTTCGAGACCACCATGTGAACCGGCGACCTCCTGGCATATCATCGTTTTCTTCCATATGCATTTGGATTCTTTCGCCGTCCAATTTCTCTTCGATCCAAAATTCAATCTCGTTATTCTTGCCCTTGGTATCTTGAGGATACATCTTTTCAACCATTTTATCAAAGGAAGGGGCCATGAACTGTGCAAGTTGAGGTTGGAAACACGATCCCAATTCCACACCTGTCTCATCAGCTTCTAAAGTGACATTAGGATCCGTGAGTTCCCAACAAACTCTTCGGAGACTAGAAGAGACATTGAATAGCGCCTCTCCATCTGGATGCCAAAGCTATAGAGATAAATTAGTAATATTACAGAAACATTCGACATCGACTTACATTAAGAAATGTCTTTTCCGAAGCCCCAATTTTCATCTGTCGAAGAATCATTCTAATCAACCAAACCAACTCAGCCGGATTCATCCTATGATAAAACTCTCGGAAAATAGGCAATTGGTTTTCTTCTTTTTGCGCCAGAGCAAGTTTATCAAGCATCTCATTAACTTCCCCAATACTCATATTTCCAACCTTCTGTCTCATTGGTCTTTTCGACAAAACCTCATAACACCTACCCGGAAAATCTCCCGAATTGGCACTCGGGGGACCTCGCGCCGGAAGTTTCCAATTCATAAGATTATACCCATCATCCGAATCTTTAGACAGATTCAAAAGCTTGATGATGAGTTTTGCAACCGAAGCTTCTTTAAGTCCATACATTGCTCTATCGCGATCTTTCTCCGGGATGATCAAACGTAAAGCGGGGAAAAAATCATCGCCTACTTGGTCGCGCCATCGCGACATAAATCGGATGATGATGTTTCTTCGTATCTCATTAGGAGAAAGATTATTAGGTCCATGTGGTCCTAATTTTTTGCGTGCAGTGGCGGGACCTGGCTTTTTATTCTTGTTGGCCTCAAGGGGATCGAAGAGTGATTGAAACAATTCATGGAATGGTAATGTTTTTCCATGATTATGAGGTCGATTTGGATATCTTATTTTTAATTAAATTTTGATCATCTCTAGATTGAATTGAATGGTTTGACTTACTTGTCGTTAAGCTCCTCTTTACTAATGGTGCTATGAGCATATTGACGTTCATCATCAGCTATCGCCTCAGCGTCAGGCTTTTTGTTTTTATTCTGTTGACTCGAAGACATGATTCATGATGTTGAGAATAATCAAATCTGAAATGATTGAAAGTTGATGCTTAAGAAGACCTTTTCGATAACCGATTTCCCCACTATGTGCACGTCCCTACTACGTGCACGACTTTGGAAATATCAACATTATGGCTTCAAACATCGATGATATGCCTTTAGAGGCTCGTATAGAGCTTGCATTAGATCATTTGAAAGGGGTTCAAGCTCCTAAATACACCCAGACAGCTAATTTCTTCAAAATTGATCGATCCACGCTCTCCCGGCGGCATAGAGGTAAAACCACCTCGAGAAAACAGTTCCTCTCCGATACGAAACAAGCGCTTTCTAGTGATCAGGAGGAGGTTTTAATTGATCAAATCAACAAGCTGACACAGAGATCTATCCCTCCTACAAGCCGCATAGTCAGAAACCTTGCAGAAGAGATCCTAGGCAGAGAGGTGGGAAAGAACTGGACTAGCAATTTTGTCAAGAGGCATTCAACACGTCTTAAAAGTCGGTATCTCCGTTGCATTGATAATTTGCGTGTGAAAGCCGATAATGTTGCTATATTTGATTACTTTTATGATCTGGTTTGAGCTATTTTCTATTGTTGTTGATCTTTATTACCTAAAACGCTCTTGCTAATACCCCTCTTTTTTTAATTTAGTTGATAAAAGTGACCATAAAATACGATATACGGCCGAGAGATATATACAATTGGGACGAGAAGGGCTTTATGATCGGTATGGGGAGGACTATGAAGAGGATAATGAGTGCTAGCGCCTATAATAGAGGCAGAGTGACAAAAGCTAGGCAAGATGGATCAAGAGAGTTTATTACTCTACTGGCAGCTATATGTGCTGATGGGACAGCTCTCCCTCCCGCTCTTATTTATAAAGGAGACTCAGGGGATCTACAAAATACATGGGTTCAGGATGTAGGGGAGAAGGATAAAGCCTATTTTGGAGCCTCAAGCAATGGGTGGTCGTCGAATGCTTTTGGCCTATATTGGCTTATAAACGTATTCGACCCTGCTACACGTCGAAAAGCAGGTGGAAGATATCGTCTACTTATTGTCGATGGTCACTCTAGTCATGTCAATATGGAATTCCTTTCAAAATGCGATGAATTAAAGATTATTGTCTTAATTCTCCCCCCTCATTCTACACATCGACTACAGCCTCTCGACGTTGGAACCTTCGGTGCCCTTTCAACGAATTACAGTACATTATTGAATGATTTGATGCACAATAGCGGGGGAATTGTTGGTATGACAAAGCGCATGTTTTGGGGCATATTTAAAAAGGCTTGGGAGCTCACTTGTACGAGGCATAATATCTTACGATCCTTCGAAAAAACGGGCATATATCCTATGAATAGGAGTCTTACGATCGACTGTATTGCTCCGGAAGCTCCTTCTACGCCACCTACATCATTTAAAACTCGCAGGGATGCTCTTGCTACACCGTATACGTCAAAAGCGATGCGTAGAATGAAATTAGAATTTCGTCGCGCTCCCACCCATGAGATCACTTTAAAGCTTTTTAAGGCTGCAACTACATTAGGAGCTGAAGCTTCTATACAGGGGCATAGATCTAAAGGTTTAGAAGAGGCTCTAAAGCTTGAAAAAAGGAAAAGAGCTCGTTCAAAGCGTTTAAATCTCATTGGAGAGGAGGGGAATGGTGCGTTTTTATGGTCACCCTCTGCTATTATTAAAGCTAGAGCGTATCAAGAAGATAAAGCACTTAAAGAGGAGCAAGAGAAGGAAGCTAAGCTTCAAATAAAAGCTGAAAAGAAAGCTGAGAAGGAACGGAAGGAGATTGAGACGAAAGAGAGAGTATTGCAGAGGGAGGTTGATCGTCAGATTGCACGTGATGCGAAAGAGGAGGTTAAAAAGACTCTAAAATCAACGAAATCTCCAATCAAAAGAGATAAAAAGTTCCCCAAAGCTTCTTCTACTATAGATCTAACATCAACAAAGACTATAGAGCTCTCTGATGCTGTAGAGGCTAATAATTCGAAGGAGAAGGAGGAGGAGGTCATATTGCGATCTAGTAGAGGGCGAGCACTACGAGTTCCATCGAAATTCAAAATCTGAAGATTTTATTATGTTTTTAGATAGTATTATATCTTGTCATTTATCAATTAAATTGCTAGCTCTTTATCTTATAAATTGGAATTGTTATTAATTTTTAAAGTGATTCAAAATGGGTGATCAAGATCGTGCATATAGCAGGGACGTGCACGTAGTAGGGAAATCGGTTACTCAAAAGCTTACGGCTGCCTAGCTAAGCGCGAAATTGACAGGTTGTCACGTGAACTCTGTCGTACTTTGCGCATGGCCTAATATATAGTTCTAGGCCTTAGGTGCCAACCCCTACTCATGAAATGATTACAACACTCACTATGATCTCTATTAGAAGTGCAGTACAGCTTCTCGACTCAATATAAGTATATGCTCTTATTACTCTGCCATACACTTGATTGAAAATTTCTCAATGTGGTACAAGGAGATACGGGGTTGATTAGCACGCGTAGAAAATACGTGTCGAAACTTACGAGTGAATGAAATATCTTCTAAGACTATCTAGTGATAGATTCAAGTTGCTAGCTGTACTGCTTCGGAACTAGACCATTTGCATGTGTGTTCTGAGGAAAGGCAGTACAGACACATTAAGCCTTCCGGACTAGTATTATTGGGAAGCCAAGTTAGTCATGTACAATATCTGTGGTGTAATCGAACGAATATGATCTCCAATCCAAGCTGGCATATTTCCTAAGATTAACCATTCGTAAAAACCTTAAGAAATTCATATTCATGACCTAAGATACTACGAAATCGTGTATTCTCACGGTCGAGATATCTATAAACCAGGCTACCTTAAGTATCAGCTTGGAAATCCCTAGAGCTTTCTTCCTCTCTGAGTATTGACTTAACGATCGCAAAGGTCCTCGGGACAAGAGATACCAATCGCGGTATGACATACTCTATAGAGAGCTGCCACGCATATGTCTTGTTATGTAGCTAGCTCACGCAAAATTGGAGCACTGTGTTACTACGATGTTCAGAAATTCCAATTACACGTTATGTGGGATTGGAAGAGTAGATGGCAATCATTCCTTCGATCAAATCGCGACGGATGTGAATGCTGGAAGGTCAGAGATGAGAGTCAAGGCGAAGTAAAGTCTTTGGGATATCAAGTTTCAGAATGTCATAAGTTATATAAGGGGGTATCACATAGCAGCTATTATTTACAAAAAAGAACCTGCTTTTGAAGCTTCCCATCGAACTTTGGTAAATGAACCAAGTTTCGCTATGTCCAGGTAGAACAACACAAAAAAGTTGGAGATGGTGATAATCTATGCATGTCAGCCTACAGTTGAATACCAACACGTTGGTTCGTAATTAGTACAAATACTCCCCTCACAATCCATCCATTCACGACAAGATACATTTCTCAATCCTTCTTCTCAAACATCCCCATAACATTATCCCAGAAACGAGAAATCCCTCTCGTAAATACCTCATCCCAACATGTCCTTCACCTCAATGCTCACGCAATATCCCCCCCCCCCCCCCCCCGCCCCCCTCTTCACCGGAAAAGACATCCCCTCGCAAAAAGGCAAAGTCTTCATCGTCACCGGCGGCAACCAAGGCGTCGGATTCGAGCTGATCAAGATGTTATACCCCACCGACGCCACCATATACATGGCCAGTCGCTCCTCCACACACGCCTTATCCGCCATCTCCGAAATCACGGCGAGCGACCCCTCGCGGGCCGGAAATCTCAAATTCCTCCATCTGGATCCCATGGATTTGCACAGCGTTCGCGCGGCCGCGGAGGAATTTATCGCGCGCGAGGAAAATCTCGATATCCTGTGGAACAACGCGGGCATAGGAAGGTTACCCCCCGGCACGAAAACGCAACAGGGAATCGAGGGACATATGGGGGTGAATGTGGTGGGGACATTTTATTTCACGCGCTTGCTGGTGGGATGTTTGAAGAATGCGGTAAGCCGGAGTGAGGAGAATAGTGTGAGGATTGTGTGGAGGACGAGTTGGATGGGAGAGGGGAGGAGTCCGGAGGGGGGATTCCGCATGCGCGATTTGGAGAATGGGGGATGTGGGAATGAGTATGTGGATTATGCGGCTTCGAGGGCGGCGGGTTAGATGATAGGCGTAGAGGCGGGAAAAAGGTGGGGAGGAGAAGGGATTTTAAGTGTATGTATATTTTCCTATCCTTTTTTCCATCATCTCATCTCATGTAATTTCTCCACCTCCACCTCCTCATCCGAACCCCCAAACCCCAAACTAACATCCCCCCCCCACCCCAGCTCATCCAAACCCCGGGCAATCTCCAAACCCAAGCCTACCGCACCCTCCCATTCCCCACCAAATTCCTCATCAACCTGCTCCTCCACCCCGCCAAACTCGGTGCCTACACCGAGCTCTTCGCGGGGCTGAGTCCCACACTAACTACCTACTCACCATCAAGGCGCATATATCATCCCCTGGGAACGCATCCAGACGCGCAATCCGCGCGCCGATATCTACGCTGCGTTGGACGCGGGAAAGGGCGCGGAATTATGGGAGTGGTGTGAGGAGGTGATTGCGGCGGAGATGGATGGGTAAGTGTGAGGTTTTTTTCGGGGATGAGGAGTGCATGGTGGGGGTTTGAAAGGGGGAGAAATCGGACTGGGAGAATCGAGGGGATGGAGGGGAGGGATTTGTATCTATCTCTCTATTTATTTATTTATCTAATTCGTACAAGTTTTAGTAGCAAATATCAATGCACAATCGAATATTCAACTCAAAAGCCCACAGCCTAATCCGATTCGGAAGTTGACTTCAATTCGATTCAATATACAACACTTACCTATTACGCATCAATCAATCTCATCTCGCTATATACATACATATATGAATATATACTAATGATTCATTAATCGCTACGGAGGTAACAAGTGTAATCCAACAATCCAACAATCCAAGTAATCCAATTAATCCGAAGCAAACCCATTCAATCTAACCCCATCCATTCACATTCACTCCCGTTCAATCAATCAATCAATCAATCTAATCCCCCCCAACACAACACAAAAGCACACCACACAACCCCATCTCTTCACCCATATAATACATCAATTCAATCCAATCCGATCCGAGCGAACCTGATGCAATGCAACATCCAAATCCATTCTGAGCCCTCTATCTATGTACACCCCTCTTCGCGCGAGCGAGCTATTCTTAGAATTTCTAATCCTTTCCTACTTTTCCTCTTCCTCTTCCTCCATTAACCTCTGAGGAGGTTCCTATTATCTAGTTTCCTGGATACAGACAAACAGACAAACAAACAAACAACCTTATATCTCATGCTCATACGCAAGTGACTCAATGCAATGCAACGCAATGCAATCCATATTTATCCAACCCATGCATCAACCCATCACGACGCACTCGCCCAAATACTATGATTAACCCTCGCCGGCAATTTCCTCCCCTTCAACCTCTGATCAATAAGCCACAAACCCACCACAAACTCATCTCTCTCCAACCTTCCATAACGCTTTTCCTTATCACGCCCCCAATACCCCTTTCCATGGACCAACTCCCAAACCTCCTCCAACACATCTCCACCCAATCGACTCCTCTCCCACAGATCCTTCACCACCAATCCCGGCACCGTATCCGCCGCGCCTTCAATCTTCACCATTTCGCCACGATGATCCACGGTGTAGGGAAAAAGACCTTTATTACTAGCCCAGAGAGCTTCATATCTTTTTCTTTCCTTCTCCGTAATTTCATCTCGCCATCTCTTTCGATTTCCCTCATCATGTTTATTCGGATGTTTTTTGACCAAATGTTTCTTAGCCCTTCTCCTTTCCCCCTCTCCCTCTTCTTCCCTCAATTCTTTCTCTGTTTTCGGTTTCCGCATTGTAGTTTTCATCATCGGAACTCCATTTGCTGATAAACTGCTCTGAGGAGGCGTGGGTGTTCTTGAGTGATCGGACTGGAAAAGTTTCTTGAGTCGTCGAGGGGGAGGAGGGGCTGGGGGTTGAATGACTCCTGAGGGTATAGAAGGAGTGGAAGCACGTGATGAGGCAAGGTATCCGGCTACCATAGCATTGGAAAGGGTTTCAGCAGTCATGCTCGGGGCGTAATTGGACGATTGAAGCCGTTTTTGTTCTGCTATCTTTGCACGCAAGGAGGGAGATTTGGGTTTAGGTTGAGAAGATGCAGATACGAAGGAATCGTCTGAAGATCCATCATCGTCAGCATCGTTGTTGTACGATTGCTTGGATACTGGTGGTCTAGACGGTGGTGTGGGTTTAGAAGATCTACGAGGGGTTTTTGTGGTAGAAGAACGCCTTCGAGGTTGAGTGGAAGATTCCGAGGCTGGTTCGGTTCTGTGAGCTGTTGTCAATATAGGAGATTGCATTGAACGTGGCTGAGGCGCATGCATGGGAAGGGGTTTTGGTTGGTCCCCCGATGCGGAAAGATTAACAGGCGTACGTCGTGGAGGCGGCAAAGAGGGCTTTTTTATTGATTCTTTCGAAGATGATTCAGTAGATTCCATAGTATGAGAGGACGTAGGTCGAATTGATTGTAGCGAGGGTTTTACTGACGGTTTCACAGGCGGTGGTCCATGAGAAGAAACTGGCCTAGACAGTTTTTGTATTGAAGGTTTTGTAGAAAGATTAGGTGTTGGGCCGTGAGAAGAAGCAGGCCGAGTATTGTGTACGATAGGCTTCTGCACTGGAGGTTTAGGAGATGGTTTTGGACCTTCGGAACTAGTAGTATGGGAGGAAACGGGTCGAGGCTGCACGCTAGATTTCGAGGGCCCAGGCACCGAAGCTTGCGAAGAAGGTCGTGGATGTACCAGAGGCTTCGACTTCGACTTGATTTGCTCAGAAATAGTGGCCTGCTCAGAAGCAATTCGAGGTTTTACTGAAGATTCCGAAGCATGAGAAGAAACCGGTCTGGCCAGCCCTGCCGGTTTCAAAACAGGCACAGGCGCATGACTCGAAGCCGGTCTTTTCTGATCCTGTCTGTTTACCATCTCATTTCCTCTATTACCCACAACCCCTCCTACTCTCTTCGCTCCCTTACCCGGCTGCTCCCACATCTCCACCAAATTAGACGTAGGAGGAATACTCGATAAATCCACCCTCCTATCCGTACTGTCGATCGAACTTGCATAGCTCTGTCTTCTACTCGGCAATGGACTTGCCTGTTTTCCCATTCCCATTCCCATCCCAAAATTTTGACCCGTATGATTCGGACTACTTTCCCTACTTCTCTTTGCCGCCAAATTAGCCGCCATGAATGCCGCCGAATTATTTTTCCCTTTCGGACTGGTTTCCGATGTCCCCGAAAATGGAGGGAGTAAATGTCCATTCGTTCTTTGATTTCGTTTTTGAGGGATTCTCTGTCCTCCTTGATATTCCACTCCTCCGCTAATACTTCCTCCATCCGTTTCACTCTCCCCCGTCCTTTCCCTCCCTACTTTTTGATGTCCGTATATCTGCTGTCCACCTCCCGTTCCCGCATCCACCACCGAAACTTTAGACGGACTCCTCGCTCTCCCTCCTCCATTATTAGGGGACCCTCCCCCTCCAGCCCCCACCTTCGTAGCAGCCGCCAATGCCCCATCCTTTCCCCCCAAACCATTACCTCCCAATTGTGTTTTCCCCACAAACTTATTCGGCACCGCCGGCGTCGCTTTCCCCTTGGCATTCCAGAAAGCCAGCGCCGCACCGGTCAATGCCGCATTCTGCACTGCGCCCGTTCCTCTCCCCGTTCCCGTTTCGATCCCCGCCCCTCCTGTATTTATATTTCGAAGCGAATTTGTGCTCGGGTTGTGATTTATATTGATTCGTTGCGGAGAAGATGTCGTCGTACTCGAATTTGAATGCAAAGTTGAAGTCGAAGCCGATGCCGATGCTGAAGCTGATGCAGAATTTCCAGGGGCAGATGTCGATGCGGTATCAGAGTGTGTATTCTGCGCACCCGTGGTTTCCGGCCGAGTAATCCTTCCCGGAGTCGTACTACCCGTCCTACCATCTAAATTCGCGTCTGCCATTGTACCAGTAACTGCGAAGTATCCTCTAATATCCTCTCCTATCATACGCAATGCAATACTAGAATGCACCCTTCATTCGTAAAGCCCGCGACGCAAAGAATTGATATTTCGAGATCATTGGGACGGATACTGATGCAATGTATTTCGCGGCTCAAGTTTCGTGAATGTTACAATCCGGTGATTAAGATAAATAGGTAGGTAGGTAGGAGTAGGTATGTAAGGTACTCGTACCGATCTCTACCATACGTATTGTAGAATTCGCAGTATAGTGGAGTCCTTTGATAATCCCGTCATTAGATCATTGCTTATGAGACATGTCAAACCGAATGTTCCATCAATTCCACACCCATCAGTACCTTACAATCAATCCAAGCATTTAATATTCCCGCCAAAAAACGAATAAGGTGAATACAACAATCCTCCTCATAATCAAATAATCAATCACAGTCGCAACAAACTTTGCAAAATGCAGGTATTATATGTCCTTATGCACCCTAATAGGAGATCTAGATATTAAACTTTCTTCCATCCACGTTTGCAGCCATCCGTCTAGCTAATTATTGGTTCCAGACACTAAAGCTAGGCATGGCCCGCAGCTCAGGCGCATTATAGTAGCATGAAAACATCCCCTAAGCTCAGTAACCAAGCCTAAAAATAGATTAACGATGGCAGGTTGAAAGAAATCATTACTTCCATTCCTCACCAATCCAGCCCTATGAAAAAAAGAAAACCAATTTTATATCAAAACAACAACAACAACAACAACAACAACAACAACTCAAAATTACATGGAACATATTCTAAATCCTTTCAATTGTCAATTTTGTAATGACTTTATCCATAAATAGGAAATGATTGATTGATTATTAAGTTCAATCTGATATACATCTCACCGAATCTTCTTCTATACACTACTGATCCGTATATTTGATTATCTATGTATCTATGGGTTGATATAGATGAAGCATTTCATCAGATACAGCATCTCCAAATACCAAGAATGATTCTCATCTCAAGTTTCTAGGCCGGTTACAATCAAATGGATTTCTGGAACGATAGCCTCACTTTGGCCATGTATGCATTCATTCATTCGCAAAGATTCTCGCATTATCATCACGAAAATACCCAAGAAGGGTTGTTTGTATCTTTGATCTCTCGTCATATTCTTATATTCTATTTCCTCCCATTCCACCAGGGTAGGTATTGAGAAATTTCCAGCCAGTATAATGTCAACCTCGTCCCAATCAATACCCTAGCCATCCACCCACCCGTCCATCCATCCCTCATCTGAAACCCCAAACCATGTATAACTCCAATATAAAGAAAAAATAATAAAACAACCCAAGTCGTATTGGACGAGCCGTTTCTAAAGAAAACTCCGTTAAACCGCTCACTCGCTATCGTTGTCGCTATCGCTATCGCTATCGCTATCGCAGCCCAATGTATGAAAAGTTCAAATCCCAAACTCCTCCAATGTATTCATAAAATAAACATTCGTGAAATGAAAGTTATTCATCCGCCACCGCTAATTAACACTCGCATTTGTATTTCGTAATTGGTATGCAGAACCATGCCTTCGGACCCTAGGTGCATAATAAGTTTCATTCTCGCATGTAGGATGAGATAATGGCGGTGGGTCCTTGTCTTTTGGACCTGCATTTCCGCCCGCACAACTGGAATTCGAGAATTCCCATCTCCTCGTCACTAGGGTTATTGACCTGTCCAAAGAATCATCAGACCACTCCGACTTTACCCGCCATCCCAATTCCATTTTTTTCTTCTTCCTTTTTGTAAAAGATCTGCTTGAACATGGCTTCTTCACGATGCCATGTCATACTTGTACTAGAGAATCTTCAATTCCAGTCCATACACATGACATTCGACAGCCATCTGCAACCGTCGATCTGACAGTCCATCTAGTCTAGGAAATTCCAAACCAAAAGCTGCTATTCGATTGTTTGACCAAATATGTAATGTAATGGGTGAAAGCCAGTCCATCACAAGGCCAAGTAAAAATTTGTTGTCGGAATTCCTCTACCGACTGATAAAATTTTCAATCGAAAGCAAAACACCCAAGATTTCATGTGTCATCGTGCGAACAGCCTTTTTTCGTGCTCCAGGGTAAAAGTGGATAAATTGAATCAATTGATGGGGATACACCCACCCATAGACCGATCGGGGGAATCCGAACATGTGGGACTGGTGTGGTTCTAGAAGGTCGGAACTCGGTATACGAAAAGAGGTGTGACCGGTATTGAAGCGTAAGTACCGCTTGAGATCCGTCCGTCGGAACCCATGAATCATTAATTTTGAACCAGTCCAATGCCACTGAACTAATAAAGTCTTGAGAAGCTAAATCTTGTCGGAGGCGTCGCATGAATTGTGCCAGGTAGATGTGCGAGGGTATGAATATCTAATTTTGTTTAATAAGTAATTGCAGTCCATCGAAGAGGAACTCCATCGTTTCCAATTTCGTAAGGCTTGCTGGATGCTTGTCTGGGTGGTAGAGCCCATCTTGCTCTTCCTGGTTTACGGTCGTCCAATTTCCCTTTTTTTCTCATGGCCATTTCCATGACTGCAATTCGAATAAAATCACTGTTCTCCCTCATGTCGCGTTGACGTGCAACTGGGCCGGTCGCAACCTCGGCAAAGGCTTCCTCGGAATTTCCTTGTCTGCGCCTATTGAGTCCGGTTGGTGGAGTGTCTTTTGAGGACTTGGAAACCTTGTATGTTTGCATTTGAATAGATGCTGTGCATTGTGTAGCACTCATTGTTTGGGTAAGAGATGTTGGCACATGAGCATCTGTGGGAGCATTTGTTGTGGGGTTGAGATACCGACGTAGTGCTGGAGTGGGTGCATCAACCAGCAAAGGTGGCATCCTTTCATCCGTAAATGGGACCTTCGGGTCAATTGACATGATAGATCTTGTAAGAAAATCATCAGGCGTAATCATAGGTGTTGTGAGACTCGAAAATGATTTTGCTGCAGACCTTAAAGCACGCAGTGATGCAGTCAAGTTTGATTTAAACGCGGACTTGCGGCGTGGGGGTTCGACGCCGGCGGTATTTTCTTGATCCTTGGGTAAATCGGATGGTCTCTGAAAGACTCTAAAGTCAAGCTCTTCCACATCGACATCTGATAAAGGATGGTCGTGCAGAGTATCTTCGCCCGCAAATGTTGGTTGATACCTCCTGGTTGGTAGAGACCTTCTCCCTCTTGAACTCGGTGTTAATATCGAACCTGGTGGAGTTGATGCATCACTAAGGGAGGCATCATCCAAAGATGGTACAGACTCGCTCGATGTAGTCCTACTTGATATGACTGATCCCGGACCATTCTCCGAACTGTAACAATCGGTCGAATCGGTTTCTTCTGGTGGACTCAACAATAATTCCATGGGACTCATACCAAATGTTATACTGAGTTCTTTTTCCGATACAGCAGTATGTTTTAATATAGCATCCACTGTCAATCTTTGTCTCGATGTAACGTGTGTGCGAGCATTCCTATTTGATCTGGGAGGCGGAATGGCTGTAATCGCCAATAAGGCGGCGACCGAGGGAGGAATGGCATTCGGCGAGTGGGCATCGTAGGGGCGACGACTCGATCGCACAGAGTGATTTTTCGTAGTTTGACGACGATCCTTCCTTGGCTCGAATCCTAAACCATTTTTGAAACTATCGTGGTGACTTCTTGTAGGAATCACCACTGGCGAAGAAGTAAATGTGGTCGTAACATCAGTAACGAAAGTTGACTTTGGCATGATATCTGAGGATTGTGCATAACTGAGATTGGAATTTGGGTTGGTAGAAGAAGAAGAAGAAGAAGAAGAAGAAAAAGCTGGAGTTGAAGTCGAAGGTTTCGATTTCGGCTTTTGTGTTGTGAATAATGAGAATGAGGTAGGCATCTTGTTGCTCGCGTGCCCTGAGAGTTACCGCATAAACCAGTTGTGTGTATTTATTACTTGATAGAAACCAAATCTGTCGGGGATTTGAATAATACGCTCAACGGGATTCGTTCTTGGAAAAGTCGAATGAATTTTGAATAGAAAACAATTTATAATATCTTATCGGAAGAGATGTCGAGCTGTTTTGCATAATTTCCAAATGGACAATACTGAAAGTCAATGATCGCAGTACTCTCGGATTGTACGGTGATTCAAGAGCTTATCATGGCCTTTTAATTTACCAAAGGTGTGTTGAAACTCGAGAGTGTACTGAGATGACAACAGGGGAGAATGAGAGGGAAGGAATGTAGATAGATATGTTTATTAAGCAAAAGGCAATCGACAGAGAGAGCAAGAGCGAGAGCGAGAGAGGTATAGTATAGTTCAGCTGATTTGAAGTGAATCACTAGGTACTTTGGTAGGCTTTGGTAGACACTTTAAAATGAAGGCTAAGATACCGGGTAGGTCGTAAGTTCGTATGAATGACTTTTGAGGAAGGGGCCGATACCGATAGCCTTATTAGTAAAAGATAAGCTAGGAAGGAGAGAAGGCAGGAAGGCAGGAAGGCAGGAAGCGCAGGAAGAGAAGGGAGGAGATAAGCGATGATAATAATAATGACGATGAATCAATCTACGGAGTACTTGGCTAGGTACTTTTAGATAGATCGCTTAGTAAGTACAAAAAGTAGATTTGACTTGTCTGACTGACTGACGGACTGGTTGATTGATTGATTGATTGACTGGCTGTTTGACTGAGACTGAGACTGACTTGACTGATTGAGTGACTGATTGATTGATTGACTGATTGACTGACTGGAGACTTTAATGATAATTGGTATCAGCTTTATGAAAAGGGAGGGAAACCTGGAGTATTAAACTCTCCTCTTGTGTTTACTATCTAATGGTCACTAGTTTGCAGATCGGATAAGCTTTTGGGCATTGAGAAACGATTAAGTGCGAAAGTACGTCAATTGTTGTCAATGGATCTACCCAATCCAAGGCTTGGAATCAATCAAAGCTAAGAAGATTGGACAGAACAGATTAGATTAGAAAGTTAAATCATGGAAATACATATCTCGGTACTCGAGTAAGAGAAAAGGAAAGGAAGTTCTCATTCGTTTTGTCTGCTTGTATTTGCAGCAATGAATTATCAACACATGGCTGTGCTGCGCTGTACTGTGCTGTATTGTATTGTATTGGATTGTATTGTACGAAGTATTGTACTTGCCTACTTTTACTCACTGACTTTACTGTATTCGATTGTCTTCCGTATATCGTATCACATATCATCATTCGGATAATATGCAAAAGCGACCCTGATCCATTCTTTTTCAACCCATCTTTTCCATCTTTTCCATCCATCCATCCATCCATCCATACATACATACATACACACCCTTGAACGCCTTGAGGAACTTCCTTCGAGAAGGCTTACGAAGGGAGTCAAGGGACGGTAGCTTAGTACTTTGCCAGGATGAGGTGAAAGGATGATGATGTTGTTTATTTTGGTATGTGGAGAATCAAGATAATCTCTGTATCAGCTGGATCTGTATCCGTCACAGCTTATTCCCCAGTCACACACTTCTTTTTCCTAATATGGTGATTCTTCTTCAACGGTTATGGAGTGCTCTATCTGCCAATTTATTATACTTTCCTACATTCGCCTAAGGATTTAATCATTATCATCATTATATCATTCAGAATCACATGATTGATTACACGATTGTATGGTCATTGTTTTTGCTTGCGTGCGTGTCGTTGTCGAGTTGTTCGTCTTATACTGTGAATCTGTGATGAGATGATCTTCTCTTTGCATAACCTTCTTCTTCTTTGGCTCAGCTCGTCCGTTGAGAGGAGAGAGATAAAAGTTACGTTATGTACTACAGTACCTGCCTAAATACGTACTTAGTCTGTACTTCATATGTTGCCTACTTCCTCGCTACTCCTATACATATACATAGGGACGCACTACGAGGTATGTGATACTAACTGCATCCTTATTATTCATGAACTTGACCGGAAGTCCGGATACACAACTGGGAGGTGGGTGTGTGTGCATATAGATATGAATATCAACCTATTCAATCTCACTGAAATCTCAGCCGGTAACCACTTTGAAGGTGGTCGAGGTGGTGTTCATCCATCCTGTTGTGTCTGTGTCTGTGTTCGTACCAAGCCATTTATTGTCCTATCAATTGATTTCTCATTACTGTACTACTTTGCAGAATACGCAGAAAGAGAAGGAGTCAATCTCGCCCTATATCCACCTTCCTGTTGTATGAGCTGAAGTGAAATTGAATGCTGTACTAGTACTACCTCGACTACTAAATTGCCGGATGGATACCTACCTAGGAACATCATGTACATTGGTACATTGGTATATTGGTAACTGACATTGGTGCATCTTGGGATCTTGGGATCTTGGGATCTTGGGCGTTTTGACGGATTTTTTTTAATTCAATGCGGTCCTGTGGGTCATGAAATCCTTCATGCTTCATCCAAATGTCTTTTATCTGCATTTTGATCTTTTCCTTCCCTATCACGAGAAAACTCTTTGGCCACGTCAGTCAACTGATCCGCTATGTTGATTTTTTTTCTGATCTTTCATTTGTTTCATCAATTTCATGGTTAGGTTGTCGCGCCTGTTGGGCGTAGAGTTTTTCTTACTGCACGAAATAATTACCCGAAATTGAAATTCAACAAAAGGTCAATCATCAATTAATGATTTCCGACCGAGGTCCTTTTTTTCTTGACAAACTTTTTTCCTTTGATTTTTTTTGGAAAATGGATATGGATATGGATATCGATATCGATATGGTCTGATTTTGAAAAGACATCTTCCCTTGCCCTTGTTTGTATTTGATTATCTTATATGAAACTTTCAAGCAGCTTCCAAAATTTTGCAGTTACATGATTAAATCGTAGTCAAGGAAAGTCATGACCCTTGTAGTATCAAGGATAAAGATGCTGATTTTCCGGCATCTTGTACGGGGAAACTTGAGATTCTCCACATCTCATACAAATCCGACCAAGGATAGCCTCACAACTCCCAAATACAATCCTGTCGCATGTTTTTCATTTCCTTTACGATACAAACCCACAAACCCACAAACCAAGGGTCTTTTGAAAAAGGCTTAAGTTGGGATCAGCAGAGCTCTCTGACTCACCTCACCATGGATTAACCTTGAAAAGCTCAGAGCAATCAAAGTAATCAAATATGTTTTGCTTACAACAGTTTGCATGTCAGACTTTTACCTTCTTCCCCACGGTATCACATTCAACCTTTCCGTCCCAAAACGCCAAAGAGCTGAAGAGGCTCCTGCAAGTGTATGCTTAGGGAATACTGTTATCAGTGGGATATGATAGGACAGAAAATGTCCAAGGTGATCCACTCTCCAGGTACCAAGCAAGTTCAAACTTCCTCATTTGTTCTCGAAGAAGCATGACATCTCAAAAATTATCTTCGCATCTCGCCTCGTCGGAAATGTAATGTGCAAATCGACGATCGTTGCATTTCTGCCCAGGTGTGATGGTCAAATATGCCCGGAAGAAACGTGATAGCTCATTTCCTGCGTCGCACCAGAAACCTCTTTGGTTACATTCCGCGGTCTGTATCTCCAATCCCTATACAGGATCAAGAAGGGATGGCAATTGGCAGATAAGACATGTCACGATCGTGTCGGTACTGGCATGCCAAGATCCTCGCATTGCTTATCTCGTGGATCGGCTAGGACCGACTTAGTGCGAGAATCTGGGGTTCGCGAGGTCCTCGTGAACTGGTCGGCTTACCATTTGGGAGAATGGGGGACTGTTCGTGATGAGGCTGTGTGCAGTTTTGTACCACCAATCAGATTGGTGTGAAGGTTGGGGCTTATAGTACAGAGGAACAACTGGTGTCAAAGATTGTCCTCGTGATGATATTTCACGTGATATGCGATGTCTTTTCGTTGAGCTCTCATGTCTTTACTCAAAAGTCTTGATCCAACTTTCGATTTTGTTGATACCTAGGTAAAATTCTGTAGTATGTAAGATACTATAAGAATAGTAATACACATCGTCTAATATGTTGGCAATAAGATACCTTTCCTAAATGACCCAAACGATTCAATTTTAGCTTCACAGATTCCAATCAAAGAGCTAGAGAGTTGTGAGGGCAACACGTATAAGTGTTGATATCCTTGCTCTTCCCTTGCTTTTCTGTCTTGCTCAATAACATATGTAACTGCATATATAGAATAAAGTATAAAAATCTTTCCACCTCTTAAAAAGTCCTCTTCAGTTTAGAGTAGATGTACCTAGATATACAGCATTAGCTGTAATGCTTGGGAAATGTGAAAGTAGATATTGCCAATTTTTCCTCAAGTCGGCAATTGAAGTTACTGGGAAATCCCCGGATAGGGTAGCTGGTTTGGGTTGAGAAGGCTGCTTTTTATCTTGAGAGGATAAAAATGCTCGTGTTGTAAATCTGATCTCGTGGTTGTTTTATCATGTAATTGAAGGTCTCTAAGTATGATATTGTTTGATTTGATAGTGTCAAATTTTCAATGGTAGGCTATATGTTACTGGTCATGATTGGGGTATTATGCAATATATAGTCTGGAATCTTTGTTTGGATGGGAGGTTTAGATGGGACTGGGATTGTATCGTCTCAAATACTCGGAATGGTGGGATTGTGAGGTGGTGGTGTTATGTTTGATGGGACGAGGATGTAGAAGAACGATTGTTTGATATGATCTGATAGTGCCATATGATCTGACGGTCGTTGCACAGCCCTAGTTGTGGTTGGTAAATGATATTGTATTAGGTTGGTATACATTTCTACATTCAATATCTTACATTCTATCCTCTACAATACCCTCTCCAAATTACCCCATCCTCTCACCTCTACGAAGAACACACCAGAGTAGAATTAACCCCATATGTCGCATTCATGCTCGGCGAAAAATCCATCAAAGGCTGCACCATGTAACACCCCATCCCCAAATCCACCGCCGTCTCAAAACCACAACTTCTCGCAATCCCCTTGAGCGTATACGTAGTACCGTTCTCAGCACTCTCGCTATAGATATTCCACCCCGCGACATGCGTCGCGCCATTCCAACTCATGTACGCGGTTCCGTTGTGCAAAACCACAAGCTGCGGCGCCGTCTTGGGCTCGCCGTACCAAGATGCCTTTTGGGCCCGGTAGGTCGCGACGTCGTTGTCGGCGCCGAAAGTGGCTTGCCATTCGCGAGGATGGGGAGCTGGCCGTAGGACATGAAGCGGCTGGTGGCGTTTTGCTGATTGGGGAGGTAGTCGAAAGAGCCCCAGGAGTCGCTGAAGAGAGAAGAGGATTCGTTGTAGGTGTTCAGCGAGAGGGGGTGGTAGCTTTTGCTCGCGGGCAGCTCGAGATAAAACTCGCGTCCGACGGTGGGTGCGGTGTTTTGAGCATTTCCTCCGGTAGCACCGGCGTAGTCGTGGTTGCCGAAGTTGGAGAATATGATAAAGTTTTCATCGAAATCGTGCACGCGAGTGTGGTATTGCCAGCTCTGTGTTTGAGACGAATTAGCAAGTGGTCAATAGGAGTTGAGTGAGATTGGACTTACAAAGGTGGCTTCTTCTGGGACGGCACCAAAGTCTCCACCATAGATACCATTGTAGTTCCAAACAATATCGCCACTTGATCGATCAATGGCAAAAACATCCCAAGTATGTCTCCCACTAACCAAAAGCTTATCCGTACCATACGGAGAAACAGAATTGATATGAACGTAATCCCACGTAACGCTTTCATTAGCCGCCATATCCGTCAACGGCAACTGGGACGCATTCAACGGGATATGATCCAGCGAGCTCCATTTCCAAATCGACTCCGAAGTCGCAATATCGATCTCGTGAATCTGCGCATCGAGGAGATATCCCTCGGCGGAACCATTCACGGAGCTCAAATCCATTTGCGTAAGATTGTAAACCGTCACCAGCAACGTTCCCCACGGCGTCAAGTACTGTTCGTTATAATCGATATCGCAATCGTGCGGAACACCCGCTTGAACATGAATTCCCAAGTGGGGACACACCACCGCAGCAGGCTCATAGTGTTTATCTAGAACCGTCAGGTTTCCATACCCGATACTCGCATTTTGGCCCTCCAACACATAGCCATTCCAATACGTCAAATAGTCCGATCCATTCAGCGACTGGAACTGGATATTGGAATACTGCACCGGGCTCAACGGATCGGATTTCGGTCCCTGCCATACGAGATCGCCCCAACTGGACATCAAGAGGGGCGCGGTGTCTTTTGTCGCATTTGCACCGGCGAAATTCACGGGGGTGAGTGCGATGGAGCCGGGCTCGAGGGCCTCGCCGTTCCAGAGGATTTCGAATACGGGGGGTGCGCTTCAGGTGCCGTTTGGTAGATGTGCCAGGGCCAGGTGGCGTCGTCGGTGGAGTTGTCGAAGAGAACGGATGGGCGACAGGGTAGGAGGGGGACGGGTGTAGGTGCGTTGTTGTAGGTTGCTGATGTAAGAGAGGCGGATAGGATGGTGAAGATGGAAAGCGTAGCGAGAGACATGATGTTTGGGGAGATGGGCATGGATTAGGAAATTTGTCGTTCTTGGGGAGTATATATACTCTTGTGTATGTATGTAAATTGCCATGGCATTGTGGGGGTCCTTGGAAGCGTAAGTGTATTCTTGGATAGTTGAGAACGGGAGATGAACATACCTCCCTTACTCAATAGCGGGCTTTACCCATGTGCATAGATGCTCATGCTTGGAGCCAAGATATAACATGGTATACACATACATACATAGTATACTTATCTTAACCTCAAATAAGCCTTTCACATAAGCTCCACCCGGGAGAAACCCTCTTCCATCCCATGATTTTCCTCTCTCTGTAAAGAAATCCACACACGTCGCAATCTATCTGAATCAATCATGACCCATTTTCCTTTCTTCAGTATCTAGAAGCGTTCGATGTTTACAGAATCCAGAAGTGATATATCGTTCTCAACTTCAATATCGAGGATTATCTGGATGTTTTTCCGAATCTTTACCAGCACTGACTCAAGCATCTAAATCGTATCTCAAGCTTGATTAGCCCTTCACACACGACTCACATCAATATACAATAATGATAGCCTACAAAGAACTTTTACGGAACTGACCAGTGTGTCGGGACCGAACAGCTGCTTGGTTGGATGAGTAAGCATTGATGGTTGTGGATGGGGTGGACATGTGGATCCGCTAATTCTCTCGCGTAGGTTACTCGTTTCGAGAAGATGTACCGTGAAGATGCCGGCAGTGAAAGCTTGTCTGTAGGTAGGAACTTCGATACGGATGCATATGTGTTCCGCTTGCTTGCGATTCTTTTGGAGGATTAGTTCTCGGAGTTACGCTTTTCTTTTTATGGTCTCGGCAATTGTTTTTGGGATTTTAAGGTGTGGTGGAGGATTGGGACGGTAGAGGGATTGGTTGGGTGGAGGCTTTGGTGGGAGGGAAGGGGAATAGATTTTAGATTATAGGGGAGGGAGTCTGGGAATTTTCTTCCCCCAACAGAATCGAGGGGGTTAGAGATGATGTAAGTCGCTTGCTCATTTTTTGGCCGGGTCATTTTTTGCTCACATCCGCGATATTACTTAATGTTCAAACTATACATCTGATTCTTTCACTAGTCCAGCTTCGTAGCATCGATGACTTACTTTGTGATTTTATGCTAGATACAATTCTATATATCCCACCCTATATTATGTCATCTCCAGCAACACACATATACCAAAGTAAACACCACACTCTTTTCCCGGAAAAATAAACATCGCAGTCGATTTCACACATGTACGGTGTAGCATTTCCATATGGTTCGTGAAGCATTGATGGATAGTAAACGGTATTATGTCGCAAGAATATACAATACATTTTGAATAACTATCTCAACGCACATTTGAAAATAATGCTACTTATCCCCTTTCACCAAGTGGAAGGTGCACTTACACTGCATACATCTACGACCCCAAACAGCGAGGTGTTTCGCGAATATAGTGAATCAGATACACTCTATGTCTATAGGAACCGACAGAGTACGAAGGACCGCAATGTAATTGAGTATTGTATATTATTCTCTAACAGAATTCGATCCTCGAATTCTATCTCCGAGGAAAAAGAAGAAGATCGAGTGTTTGACGCCGCATAGATGGCTGGAGAAATGTCCATTTTTATTATCAGGAACCTTTTTCTTGTATTACATTAGAAGCCCGGGTGTAGTCATGATTCATTAAGCTACGAGATGGGAATCTTGATTTCGATATTAATGTGTATGTGATGGAGAGAAATAAGGTCTCTAATCATCTACCAACCCAACACCTTGTCATCATAGTCATTTTATCGCAGTTTTTATACCGCAAAACTAATGCGTGATAGACTCATATACCCAACAAATGAACTTTCACTACTGGTAGTCCGAAGAACAAAATGAAAGCAAAAGAAGAAACCCTGTATTCCACTGATAAAAGTAAATATATTGGTATTAGTATTGATATCTATATCTATATCTATATTTAATCCCCATTTCTCCTCTTCATGATATCATCATCTCATCTAGGAGCAAGTAAGTTGTTACTACTTGTCATTTCGTTTCATCCATTTCCATCCTCTCATCTTCCAAAGCCAACCAGCCAGTTAGCCAAGCAGCAAGCCAATGCCAAAATATGCAATAACTAGAACGCCATTGCAATGCTATTAATCCCATTTCACACCCACTCCCAAATTTATGCTTTTGATCCCATACCATCCCATCCACGCACACCATATAACAATTAGCCCACTAGGAAATAAACCTCAAACTCAAACTCAACGCGAGATTCATGCAACTACCGCACCGCTCTGAAACCTCATTCCCAATACCCAACTACCCTCAAAATCCACTCCTCTTCTGACTCTCGTACCAGCTTTCTTCCAAACCGCCATCCCAAGTCCAATATCCGCAACGAAAAGTTGCCATTCCCCACTCGCTTTCGCGTTTACACTTGTAATTCCTAATCCTGATTTCTCCTCGTCACCAACTCCCTCACCCATACTCATAGCTTCTAACAGACCTTTCTTAGGTGCTCCCATTGCAACGACATATCGCGCGTGAATATATAATTTTCGTCCATCGATTACACTGACCTTTCCACTCGTGGGATCAATACCCGTAGGAACATCAATGGCGAGAACTGATGCTTTACTTCGGTTGGCCCACTCAATGAGTTCGTAAGCTGCAGCCTGATCACCGGTTCGTAATTCTTCGAATGACATTGTGAGACCAAGAAGACCATCTATAATGAGATCGATAGGTGCGCCTGATGTTTTAATGAAATCAAGAAGTTCGGTCTTGGTAAAAACTTTACCACCAAAACTGCGGAAAACCTTGATTTGGCATCTAAGCCCAACTAAAAGTTCGGAATCACGTTCAAGACCGAGGATGCAAACCACAACGTTAAGACCGTGATTTCGGAGGTGTCGACCTGCTGCTACAGCTCGGAGTCCACTCTTATTGTTCCCGGCGAAGACTATAACCGTTGGAACAGTAGACTTCTTGCCTTGGGTTAAACCACGACCTCCAGTGTTCACAGCCGATAATCCAACTTCAGCAATACCACGACCTGCATTCTCAGTCATCATATCTTCGGTGAGGCCAAGTTCAGCATCTGCGATATTCTCCAGGTTAAGCATCTGTAGCGCAGAGATAGGTTCACATCGACGATCTGAAGGAACAAGATACAACATAGGCTTTGACGGCGCCACTGAAATATTTCGTGATGGTTGGGAGCTTGGAACAGTGCTTCCTTTGCGTGAAATAGGTCTGTGATGATTACCTATTTTACTCTCTGGTCTTCGTGCACGAGAGTTTCTGCCACTCCCTGAACCTCTTTGACTACTTATTTCTTGAATGTCGGTATCATCAGCGTCACTCTTCCAAAGTTCGGGAGCCTTTGTCGCACCGTTTGGCGTTTCCAAAACGTTCTCGGTAGGATGAAGATTCTTTCCACCGTACGTTCCGGGCTTTGCCTTGGGTAAGCGATTGTGTCCGACTAGGCGGTCTGATTCTGCTATAGCATCCTCTGCCTGCATTTGGTTGAAAACAGATTTCTTGTCAAATTTTGCCAAACTACTAGCAAAGTCAAAATCTCCCATCTCTTGCACGTCGGTTGCTTCTTCAGTAGCCCATCCGTTCTCGTCCATATTCCTGTTACCCCTTCTTTGAGACTTTTTCAATGTTGCAAATGGTTGAAATGAAGTAACCGGTTCTAGCAAAGGAGTTTGTCTCCAACCTTTTGATCCGGGGGCATTTTTCGAAGGGCCAACGATCGGCTCCTGGAAGACACGTTCTACAGGCTTCTTTCCTTGATTCTTTCTCCTGCGAGTTCGTTGCCGTCCTGATTTGGCCAAAGCCGGCTCTACTGACAACCCAGCTAGTTCTGTATCGAGTTCTTCCAAATTCTCCGCTTCTTCATGCTCCAGCTCTGCCTGATCGTGCACTTCCTGACTTGTCAAACTATCGGGCAAGGTGGATGAAGTATTCTGTTCTTTACGCCTGTTCTCGCGACCAACAATAGTTCGCGCTGAACCATCGCGTTCCATCGAAGCACTCTCCAATTGAGGATGTGATTGAATCGATGCTGCAGGAGAAGCTACCGATCCCGGTCTCCTTCCCATGCTCAGAATCGCCGGATCCTCAAACTTTTTCGCAGCCGACGCAGGTACAACCGCTGGCTTCTGTTGTATAACCGGAGAGGGCGGCTTGACATTTTCATTCCGAGCCTCAATCAATTCCGTAATTTCCGCCGCATTAATTGTAAACTCAGGAACATATTTGCCATTAGACGGGCATGTAACTATGAGACACTCAGTGTTAGCCAATGCAATGAATTCGTTTGCTAACGTTACGTGGGCACCAACCTTCTCGTAAAGTCAAGCTTTTACCCGGTTCGATACTACTGACAATACCTCGCAATTGTGCACCGGGTGGAGAACTTAACGTCACCAACATGGTAAGCCCAATAAATTGGTTCGACATGTTGGGCTTCGTTTCTTTGGCAGTTCACCACTGGCTGGGAAGATAGTTTCGCGATATGCAGTAAGAGAGGAAGGGTGGTATAAGCGCGTAGTTTTGGGTAAATAGCTCTCAATGAATGAAGATGGAAAGAGTTATTGGTGGAATAATGATTCAAAATGGGTGCAATGGATTTAAGAGAAAGTGTTTCTCGTGAAACAAACTTGACAGCTTTGTTAATTTTTCTTTCTGATGGTTGGGAGTTTGCAAGGGTAAGTAATAGCGAGGCGCGAGGTGAGACAAAAAAGTATATCGGGTTTTAGAGCTAGTGATAATAATCGCCGCCTCAAGAGATCATCCCCGCCGCCTTATCGATAGCCAGATAGGTAGCGCGGGGTGAATTTCAAGGTTTGTTAGGAAGGTTTCGTTGTAGATCCTGGCGAAACGTACTCACTAGGTAGGCAATCAATCATGTCATCAATATACCTAGGTAGACATGTACCTAGTAGGTAGCAAGAAAGAGCGCCATTATCATCAAATATATTTGAATCTACTCGCGGGCGATACTTTTGGTAATCATCCTAAGAAGTCCTAGATAGATGTGGTGAAGTAGTGCACATAGAGTAGGTAGGTATGTATTACATTATGAGAGACATTTTCGACATCAAACAGCCTGAGCATTCATTAAAGTATAAATACTCGAGTATCGCATGGGCAGTAAGTAGGTGATGGTGTTGGTTCGATTCGTATTAGCTTTTTTACAAGAAGTCCTTGTAATTTGTTCGTAAGTAAATTTAATACACATGAAGATGGAGGGTATAACTCGTACTCGTCTTTTCATCCCATACTTAACATTGGCGCCGTGCAGAGTCAATCCCATTTTTGCGGGTTCAGTACCTATTCATAGATCGCCTACCATATAAACCTCTACAGCCCAATCGAGCAAATCTAAGCAAATTCCAGTGACTCCTGCAACACCCCAAAATCTACCATCATGATTCTCATAGACGCCCGCCGCTTCTGAATTGGCGTGCCATTTCTTCCTCGTCCTCGTCGAAGAAATTATCGTCTTGCAATGGCTTGATAGGTTTTGTTGGTATCTTTGGTGGATCTGCTTTCGCAACTCTTGGGTGCGCCAAAGCTTTGTTGACACTATACAAGCTGTTGTAAAATTCTGCAACCCTTGGATGCGCCATTACTTTCTTTGGGTCGAAATTCTGAACCTCCAAGCCAGCTTGGCTTGTTGCCCGACTCAACGCAACATAAGCTTGTCCATTCTCGAACACTCTTTTCAAGTCAATCTTGACACGTTCCAGTGTTTGCCCTTGTGCTTTATGAATAGAAAGTGCCCAGGCAAGAATAAGAGGTAGTTGACTGCGCTGCGCCTGGACCTCTCCGTTAGGAAGTTCTATCTTCCAATCCTCTGGCTGAACAAGAAGATCTCTTACAGTTCCATCTGGAATGGAAAATCGTACCAATGGAAAAAGTCTTCCATGATTGGAGACGCCAGTGATGGGTAGCTCCTTGTTAGTCTGTTTGAACTTTGCGAGATCTGATTGGCGGTGGTTCTCTTCTTCGGCATCGGAAAGTTCTTTTTCGTTAAGTATATCTGGGTTGGCATCGTAGATCTCGAACGACTTTTCACTCATAAAAGCAACAACTTTCCCAAGTGATCCGTTTACCAGACCATCATCCATGTTTTTGATTAGCATGACTTGTGCTCCCTTCTTCAGTTCAATCGATTTAGGAGCCATCATGTTGGAAAGTAGTTTTTCCCTCATTCCTTCATCGGTAATTGACCCAGAGTCGACAGCCTCAAACCTGTACGCCTTGCCATGTAGGTTTCTCAGTCTGAATGTATTCGAATTCTCGACCTCATTTCGGGTTGGGAATCTAATGACAGTTAGTAATGAAAAGGGCTGGTACTGCACTTATACGCACAATTCTGTAGCTGTCAAGTCGTCTTCATAATTTATAGCGCGCTTCATTTCAACGAAGGCTTTTATGGTGTCTTGAGAGACCTTCCCCAGGCGCATCTCGTTTAACATATTTGCAAACACTACAAAGTGTTAGCCTAATTGAGTAGATATAACAGATCAAACTTACCAGGATCCTTTTGACGAAACACTTCTGTTAGACCAATTGTGTGATGAATTGCAGTTCCCCAGGTAGCAGCGTCAAATGCGAATTTGACACCTCTACTTTTTTGGTTGTAATCTGGAACGGGAGGGAGTTGGAAGAAATCCCCAGTAATCACAAGTTGTATACCTCCAAAAGGTCGGCCATTGTTACGCATTCCTCTGGCAATCTCTTCTAATTTATCGAACAAATCGCCATCAACCATAGAGATCTCATCAATGATCAAAACCTTAGTTCTTGTCCATCGAAGCTTAGCTTTGGTGTTTTTCTTTATTTTCTTTATAAGAGTAGGTACATCCTCCTTACCCAGTCCAATACCCCCAAAACTGTGCAGTGTCACGCCTCCAATATTACAGGCAGCTAAGCCTGTAGAAGCTGTGACAGCAACTCGGTCACCCTCGCGGACATACTTCTTTTTCAACGCAGCAATGATTGATCTCATCAAAACGGATTTTCCAGTACCCGCAGAACCAGTAAAAAAGACACTCTTGCCCTGATCCACAACGAGGTCCTTCACCCGAGTTTGCTCGTCAGTTAATTGAATTGGGGCTAATTTAGCAGTCTTTAAACGCCCATGGGATTCCGCCGCAGCCTTTTCAGCCTTGTCAATTTTTCTCTTCCGCATCTCCTTAACCACCCTCCTCTCTTCTGCAACCTTACTTGCGGTTGTGTTCCACGGCAAATGCTTATCTTTCTTGTCATGAGGCAGAGGGCTGAAATCCCACTCGCTTGGCTTTCCCTTTCCATTGGTAGGGCACTTGTTGACATAATGACCCGTCTTTTTACATTTGAAACAAACTGGGGCAGCAGATGAGCCAACCCCTTCGGAGTTTGATTCTTCGGCTTGTTCTTGTTTATGCGACACCTCATCTTGTTCTGACTTCTGCTGCAGCCATGGTAAAGTACGTCGTTTCGATTTTGGTGCCTCGTCATCCTCAACGACTATGGCAGACTTTGCCGCCAATTGCTCTCGCTCTCGCTCTCTTCGTTTTAGAGCTCCAGGCGGCGTTCCTTTATGTGCAGGTGGAGAGGACGACCAAGTTTGCGCGCTACTACTTGGCACACGTTGTACACTGAATCGTTCGCGGAATGGAGACGAAGGTATCGTTGGAAAGGTAGGCTTCGGGGGCGCTGCCATGGAAGCATTGGTAGACAGAGGTTGTGTAGGCAAAGTATAACTGTAATCAAAATCTATTTCATCGTCCTCGCTGAATTCGTCCGCTAGTTCCACAAGATCAAAGCTACTATTCTGGGTATCTCGGAATGCGTCCTCCCCGCTGAATAACGAACTCATACGAGAGCTGCCGACACTTGATATAACGGTCGATTGACTCTCCTTGGGCAACAGCTTCCCATTTGCTGAAGCTGGTCTCAAAGGTTGTACAAATCCGCCGATTGCCTGCGAAGGTTTGGGTTTCAATGATTCTTCAATGTTTCCATTTCTTGTCAAATTATTTGGCGTAACTGCTGCCTTTTTTGCATCGTTCTTCGCATTCGGAAGTGGAGGCTCCGTAGCCTTAGCTTTGACCGCTCGTTTTAACATCGCGTTTGCGATAGAAGAGTATAAAGCTCCTCGAATTGGTGCATCGGGTTTGTAAAATGTTGAATGAGGATGCGCTCTCCAGCGTTGCGCGAAAAGACTTCTAGTGAGTGAAGAAAGTGCTGGAGGAATGGTGCGGCCAAATGGCATAAAATCGTTTGGGGAAAGTGCGGATTGTTAGCAATGCATTTGGTTTCACCTCCTCCTGTTGTAGATCAGTAAATATAGTACGGTACTAGGTAAGTGACGAATCGAACAATCGAAAATTGTTTTGCCATGTCCTCGCGTCACGGGAAACCGCGTTGGGAAGGACCGCGTCGTATCAAATCAATCAATTTAGGTTACCCCACATTGATTTATGTAAGGGAATTTTATGGGGCAATTACCATAATTGTGTGTACTTTTGACAGTTTGAGTTTATTGGCATATCAATCGATCTCAACCTTATATTAGCCGGGAACCATTCAGTGGGCTAAGACCTCCCACAGCTAGAAACGCCGTTAGTTCACTTATTCATCTAATACTTAGGTAGTAGTGCCTACTTTGTAGGTAGGTTGTTTGGCCATCATATCTAACCTAACCGTGTGAACTTTCTCATACCATGTTTTCAAATATCAGCCTTACAAGACCCAGATACCATGATGCCATGATACCCCTCCCCCCCGGCGGAACATTCCAACCTTGAGGCATCTTCACTGATCTATTGATTCATCTATCGAGTCACAAAGCGATCTATTCCTGTTTCACCATCATAAATATAGAGTGGAGAGAGTCTGTAGTATTCATTGTTGATGTTTGACAGCATTCCTTTTTATGGGTAGCTGTGAATGCTTCTAGCTCTACAGTGCCCTCATCCCATTTTGGCTACCTGCCTGCCAACCAAATTCTTCGATTCTGCCGAAAAATCTTAGGTCAATCCTATCATTTTCGTTACAATCTTTCATATAACATATTTTATGTAACTGCCAGCCATATCGATAATGACAATGTTGAACAAAAAGAAGAAGTGTCGTGGCACAATATAAACGGGGTAGTCGCTATAGTAGATTCGTGGACTCATGAGGAGAAAAGGCGAAGAACGAGAGACCATAAATCAAATGCAGAAAAATAATCCAAAGGCAAAGATAACCTAGAAGAGAAGAAAACAACTTTTTTGATGGACGTAAAAATCACCTTTCCAACACTGGGTAACATAGGAAAACTACGGATGGAAAGAAAATTATCTTGAAATAGAGCGCCCTATGCAACTTCAATGCTGCTCGGCCTAGCCGTCAAATAAGAGACCAAAGCACAGATGCGGAAATGAGATTATGCCACCAAAATTTAATATCCCGGCTCCCCATAAGACCATAATAACTTGACAAAGCAAAATACACCTGAAAATAGTTGCTCCAAAAGAGGTCATAAATGCGTGCGGCCGTATAGGAAATTAGCCTTGGTAACCACCAAAGCCGTTTCCGTAACTTTGCGTAGCGGGAGCACTCCACTGCGCGGTTGGTGTTGGTTGAGCACCACGACCATATCCTCCAGCACTGGCAGGGCCACCATATCCCATGGGTTGGTTGCTGTACTGTGCTGGAGACTGAGCTGGAGGACCACCGTATCCTCCTTGTTGACCAGCGAACTGGCCTGGGGACTGCTGATTAGCCATGGGTCCAGCTGATTGAGGTCCAGCTTGCGGAGGCATTCCACCGTATTGTGGGAAATAAGCGTTGGGTGTACCTGGGAATCCACCAGGAGTTGGTCCGGCTTGAGGGCTGTAGCTTTGCTGAGAGCCATCGAAGCCTGCTGAGGTGGGTGCTTTATCCTTACCCCACTGGAGAATTGTTAGCATGTAAGAGATATGAAGGGAAAAAACAAACTTACACTACACTTGAGAGGACGACCATTGACATTGTATCCACTCAATTGACAAATGGCGAGTGCGGCATTCTCATGAGAGTCCATCTTTACAAAAGCAAAGCCTCGATCGGCTTGGAACCGAGTCTCGACAACATATCCAAAATTCTGGAACAATGGGACAAGATCTTGTTGTGTTGTGTATGGTGTCAAGTTTCCAACATAGCAAGTGGTTTGCCATTGAGGAGTTTGTTGAACAATCATGTCATAGCTCTGAACACCATGGGTTGGGAAGTGATGATGACCAAAAGGTGTGGTAGGAGTCATGCCCATGGCAGACATGGCTTGTTGCTGCGAGATAGATGGCTGGCCCTTTTGGTTGGCCCAGTTGCAACGAATAGCTCGGGAGCCTAGCCATTCACCGTCCATAGAGCTTAGTGCCTTCTCGGCATCCTGTCGTTCACGGAAAGCAGCAAAGCCATAGCCCCTAGATCTTCCTGTCTTCATATCCCACATAACACGTGCCTCGGACACAGATCCAAAGGCAGAGAAAGCTTGTAGTAGAACCTCGTCATTCACTTCGTTTGAGAGGTCTCCAACAAAGATGTGGAAGTGGTTTGATGTATCTTCCTTGTTTGATGTGTTCGATTGGTAAGCCCAGTTAACTCGAATTTCCTGTATGAAATTAGTCTGCTGCTTGAAGGAACTGATAGAACGACACTTACAGCCTGGTGGACACGTCTTCCATTCAAAGTTTGCATGGCTCTCTCAGCTGCTCCGGGATCATCATATTCGACGAAACCATAGTTGAATCCCTTTGACTGAACCTCGATTAGCATAAAGTTATAGTCAGATGCAATGTATGGAAAGGAAAGAGTTCAAACTATCAAACCCTAGTAGAAAGTTTCGTAGGCCCCGAAGGCTCGAAGCTTTGGGATATGACGGCAATGAAAAAGATTGATACTGACAGCACCTACATTCTTGTCAGGAATGATTTTGACATTTTGAACATGGCCAGTTGTCTCAAAAATTTGACGGAGTATCTCTTCAGTGACTCTTGGGTCAAGACCTCCAACATATAATGCGCGCTTGTTTGGTTCTGGTGCAGCTCGGCGAACAAATCCACCAGCGCTGTCTGGCGACATTACCCCACCATTCTCGCCCATAGGAGATGTAATAGCAGTTGGGATTGGATTTGTGTTTTGCGGAATGATAACTGGTGGAAGTGGTGGCGGCGGCATATGCGAAGGATTGCCCTGGCTATTGTGGCCATTCTCATAGCCTGGCGCACCAGCAGAAGTCTGCGGTGGTGGTGGGAGCTGAGCACTGCCTGGAGCACCGTTGTCTGCCATTGTAATATATGATCAAAGATGATACTTTAAGTCGTGTCTTTGAAAAACTTGCTCGAAAGTAGATAGACTTAGGAATCGGAAGTAGGAAATTGCCTGGAGAGGATCGAAAAGAGATCGAAGATACAAGGAACGAAAAAAGTTGAGTTGCGAAGGTGCGCTGATTTACGTTCTTGTGTAACTTGAACGATAAGAAGCGCGCGAGACTCGAAAATTCGATAAATGACTTGCGAAATAGATCGATGAGAAAGTTAAATAAGCAACAAGTTGTTAATCACTTGTTGTGTGAATGAATAATTGAACTTTGGAATTCAAAGTGAACAGAGGAAGTTCAAGATGAAGCTTCGGATGATGCAGAAGTAGCAGAGAGTAAGAGATCGATAAAGGAGGGGTTTTCTGCGACCAAATGCCAGAAGACCGAGTGAGAAATAAAGAGGATGAGACGATGATGATAGATTGGAGAGGTATGAATATGAAAGAAATTAATCAATCACGACCGTGAAAAAAAGACGAGAGGAAGAGAGAGAGGAGACAAACACCACTCGAAGATCCAAACGCCTTGTATTGACAGTAGATTGAAAAAGAGAGATGGAAAGAGACGACGCTGCAAATGATTTTTCTTTGCACACAGTAGGAAAAAAGATGTTGAACGAAGAGAAACTGGGGCGGGGGGGGGAGGTGAAAGTAGAAGTTCGGCGCAAATTACTTTTACTGCAAGTTGAATGAAGGAGGGTCCTTTTTCTGGTAAAAACGGTAGGTTGTAGCTCTTCTTTCTTTCTGTTAGTTTCTACGCTAATCAAGAGACAAGGCTACTAGGTACCAGATAGGGTCCGGGTAAGCCAAAAAGATTGAATATGACTAGGGAAGATATGTAGGTACCTGAGGTTATGGATTGTGATGAATTCACTCTTGTGAACTGTACCGTGTATGTATGTAGGTATGTATGTATGTATGTATGTATGTGTGTGTGTATGTGTGTATGTATGTATGTATATATACGAATGTAGGTCGGTAAACTAATAACATTAACAACTTGGTTCATCCATATTCATCACATACTCTGTTCCTCCTATGTACTTATTACGACCATTCCTTTGGCTTCACTCAGCCAGCACATTTTTATATTCTTTCCCTCGCAATATATAGCAATATATACGAGGACATACCATACCTCCTGGGTCCTGATGTGATTGACTGCTCAACTGTTAATTTCCGTCTGCTTCTTTCGCTTATGTACGGAGATTCCTTCCTCTCAATGCAAGTGAACTCTTTGGGATAAATTCAATTGATTCAATTAAGAGGTTCGCCTTCAGCAATTCATTATTTCCGGATATTATATATGGTGGGGGTGGATGGGGAAGAGATCTGTTCGTGTATTGGATGGGATATTATCGTCCATGATTTCTTCCTATGGGTATCATTGAGTACTCCAGCTGCTCAAGATTCATTGGCTTGAAGTTTGGTCAAGATTTCCATTGAAGTATGTAAGTGAGATACATATCAATAAGCAATATACTTGCTTGCTGTTTATTTTTGTTGGGCATATATGATAATTATGAACAGCTCAGATTCAGGACTGTATGGATATGTCATTCACAATCAATTGGTGAACTATACCTACCTACCCTAGCTAAAGATATGAACTCAATTCCGTGAGGACATCTATCATAAACGTACAGTCAGCTGCTACCTACAGGATATAGATTCACTTCCTCAATATATGTTTCTATAAATATCTTGGCTTCTTTTACATCTTTGACCCAAAATCTTGATTCTTTCCCTAATTACTTCATTCGACTTCTTCCTCTTTGATTGGTTGTCAGATACCTGTCTCCTACCGACCTGGGTTCATTCTTCATTGGCCATCACCGACAGTCAGGATATTGTGCATGAACTGTCTGTATGTAAACTACCAGCAAGACCCCCCGTTGCACAGCACGCACGGAACGGGATCGTTACTCTACCCAAATGCTGCCCGCTGGAGCGGTCCGAGAAAGTTACTATAAGGAAGTTGATGATGCTATACCGACGGGAAGGAATATCAAGGTATGCCGATTGGCAAATCACTCAATCAATACGATAGTACAAGCTATTAGTCAACGTCTTGTGGACAGATCATCCCATCTTTCTTGAAGTTAAACTTCCGTGCGGCCCCAGGCATGAGCATTGAGCACTGAGCACCACACAGACATGGAATCGAAGCTTATCTTGCAATCTCATCAGAGGGGTTTAATCAAAGTTTACGTCCCGACAGCTCTAGTTTCGACGGACAACCCATTTTCTTGATAGTTCCGACAAGCCAAAGACGGATAAGAAGTTGTGTCATTAAGGAGATCATTCTAACAGATTCGAGTAAGCAACTGAGTATTTTGAATATGAAGCAATCATGGAAGTTCTCTTAAAGGCTGTTATCAGGTTCATCAGATACTGTACCTTGACTCAAGAATACTTTTGGATTTGTCTCGGCTACTTCCCATGGAGCGGAATACTATCGAACCTCCTTCTATCCTTTGCTTTCATTGGGCGATTGGTAATATTTTAGGGTGAAATTGCTTTGCTTACCAGGGAGGTGTGATTTTACGCCTCATTTGTACCTCAAAAGCATTGAAAAGGTCAACATGGGTTTGTTAGCAACTCATTCGCCAATAGTTCCATGCTATTGCAACATGAAACCAACAGCGAGATATCACCTGCATTGAGGGAACACATTTCTATCACAACATCATGATCTGAGGGCAATAATAAGTCTTTGCATCATACCTGCTCATTCACCATTCCTTTTGCTACATTACCCCTCCAGTTTTACCATCCTACTTTGAAGATCACTCCTGGTTGGTAGGTTTGCACAAGCCTCTTGAACGTCTTTGCATGCGGTGAGGTATCGAAAATTGCATCAAGGAAAGACATGACTCAACTGTATTTTGAATTACTACGTATGCGAATGTAGATAGGCTGGCTGATTGGCATATGCTTAATTTGATTTTGATTTTGACTATTCTCTACACAGGCCCGTTCCTGCCGAACTACAGGAACAAGGGGATATGACAAGAAGCTTTGATTGAGCATCAATCATTAGTAAACCCGTGCAAAGCTCAGAATGAGCCTTGTGAGACTTATGTAAGCTTGTTACAGCGATCTTTAAAGTGGGTATCAGCGGAACAATGTTCGCCGAGCCTCCAATGACTTTCATCTGTACTATGATGAAACCATCATTGGAAACCTCAAAGTCTACCAATATTCACCACACAGATAGATATCTTTTCTGGACAGGAAGGTCGACTTTTCTCTCCTCTATACTAGATTCGATCTTGTTCTTGGAAAACTTTCCTACCAACCTTCACACCAGCTGCTAGCACACTAACTTCCTTTTGATCATGGCTCAAGCACAACCCAAAACTCCTTTGGAGATTCTGCAAATCCAGATTAATGCGATTGTATGTACTCTGGGGTTTCGATCATTAACTCATAATCTAACATAGTTATCAGCTTATAGAGACTGGCAAAGCTCTTCGCGCCACAGGTGTAGAGGGAGAAAAATCTATGGCCATTTCCGCCATAAGACTACATTCGACTATTCCATCTATAACCGACAATTTCCACCGAGCTTTGGACGATCTTGAAGCTGAGATTGTAAGTAGACTGACTGCTTGAATGTTTAGTCACGCAGTATTGACCTGAGATTACAGATTAGAGCAAAATCTGTTTTGGGTCGAGATTTAGAGGAATTGCGATCGAAACGAATTGCGGCAGAGAACCCGCCTGCTCAAAACATAGATACCCCCGTCGCACATGAACCTACACCACCTCCGCATATCCCATACGAAGATATACCCTCAGCAGTAAAGCAAGAGACGACCCAAGACAGCAATCCCATACCAACAATTGCGAAGGAAGAGGAAACTCCAATCAAAAATGAAATGGTGAAAGAAATTAGAGATGAGGAAGAGACAAAAGAGACCACGATTTTATCTCCACCCAGTACAAACGACAACAAGTCCCAACCAATTGGCCTTGGAATAAACACTACACTTCCTGCTTCTACAGACGCCCCTGAAACGGCCACAGGAGGCGGACAAGACTCTTCGATCGATTCCCTTTTCGATAATCCAGACAGCGCTGCCAATGTAGATTCTGCGGCTCTCAACTTTGACAGCATGGATTTTTCAATGCTTGATACAGCCACCAATACTCAAAGTCAAGATAATAACCACACACAAAATACCGAATTTGACCTCTCCACATTCGGGAGCAACCCTCAAGATTTCAACATGAACGATTTACAACCTTCTAACGAGGCTTCTTCCTCTTCTAATAATAATAATAATAATAATAATAATCATAATAACGAAAACATCACTACGGGAACTGCTAAAGGAGATATGATGGATGATATCCTGAATATGACTGCTGGCAGTGATACGAATGACAACAATAATAACAATAATAACAGCATGGACATGGACTCAAATCTCGATAATATGGTCGGGGCCGACGAAAGTGTGTTTGATGATTTGTTTTTTGGGAATGATGACGATGGAAATGTTGGAGGTGAAATAGGCGAAATGGAGCATGGTCAATTTGATAGTGCATTCTTTGGTATTGACTAAAAGTTTGTTGGGTATACCATTGGAAAGACATCATTTTCAAAACTTCAAGAGAAGGTTGTAGTTATAGAGATATAATGTTTTTGGCATAAGGAAGAATGTAATGTCTACACCGAAGATTTTGATTGCTTCTTTCTTTCCCAATCTTTTCAATCTCATTCCACTGTTTCGTTCAATGTAGCCAAATTCCCACAAAACTATCAGAGTGTTTCTCAAGCGGAACTCACTGATATTCTCACTTTTCACAACTATGGCTGGTGTCTCCACGAACGTATACATGGCAAACACAGTAGTATTTGTATCGGCTCAGATTGCAATTTGTTAAATCAAAAGTTTCTCGATATTTGTATCACTTCACGTATAATCACTCAATCGTGTGTTTCATCTGGAATATTAAGTTATGTACGATGTCAAATTGTATATTTAATTTCAAAAACTAAGAATTCTTCAACGAGACCAGTCTCTGAATCGGAAAAGGTACTAAAGAAGATGTTCTTAATACGATGTGTAAGGAAAGTTCCACCCTCGTTCGTCTCTATTCAATTTCTACTCGCTGCTCTCAAAGAAAATCTACATCTCGATCTGCCCAGGATTTAAACTCAATCTCCATACCATTTCTTCTTCTCCCAAGCACCCCAACTCTTTGCACCCTCCTCGTCATAATAATCGATTTTCTTCGCCGGCTTAAACCATCGCTCTCTCTCTCTCTGCTGAGCTAGATGCTCTTCTTTTGCTTCAATTCGATTGCAATTTTCCCGATTCTTGCGCCTCGATACCCAGCGTTTATCGTCGGCTATTTGGCGCATAGTTTTGGGGTAGATGTCACCGGAATAGAAGGTGTAGATCTTTTCGGTGGCTTGGGAGAGGAATTGGGCTCGTGGGGCGGGAGGTGCAGATGCAGAACTCCAGGCTCCGCCGTGACTGAGCGGCTGCGAAGTTAGTGCGAGGAGGCCTTCGGCGGTGAGGTCTTGGGGGGATCGAGTGGATTGGATACTTGTAGGGATTACGGTGGTGGGGGAGGTGAAGGAGGAGTGTCGATTGGGATCGGTAGGGGATACCGCTGTAAGAGGAGATTTGTGATCTGCTCGTTCGTCGAGTTTGGGTTGGAGTGGTGAGGTGGTGTTTTTGGTGCCCTCGCTTGGAGTGGGGATAGGGGGGGGTTGGGAAAGGGAATTGGGGCAAGGCATTTTGGGATGCTTGTGAGGATTGAGAGTTTGTATAGGGTTATACTTTTGCTACTTGTATGTAATGGGATTATTGTATTATGTATAAATTCTAAGGGCCTGGTTTTTAATCCGACTTTTACAGTGATGTTATACTGGCAAAATGTTCCTTTATCCGATTGGAGAGGCTTGAAATTCCATCCATACATAAAGAAATAACATAGTTTTTATGAGGTCTTATCGATGTTGTTCTGAATCAGTTTGGTTTTCAGAACAAAGGAATCAGCATGAGACATTAATGTGGAAACTTCAAGTACTAACGACGACACAAACAAAGAGAATCGAAATGCGTCTTAGGGTGAGTTTTAGCACAACAAAGAATAACGAATCTTATACTATTCTTCGATCTTTTTAAGCTTCGAAGAAATTATCTATCTTTCCTCCTTATACAACGATAGTCAAACCCAGGAATAAGCAATCAGAGGCAAATATGCCACGAGCGGGCCAGAAAAAAGGTGATCGAGATGATGCATACAAACCCATCAAAGAAGCCGAAGAAGACATCGCCGACGTCGACGTCGAAATTTTGAAACCCACCAGAGCAACTCTCAAACCATCCAAAATCACCAAGTCTCTCCCCAAAGGAGGAGCTTCCAAACAACAGCCTCAAAAGAACACTCCCAGAGGAACACCCAAACACACCCCCCGATCTACCCCCAAACCCCCCTCAGCAGGCGCCTACAAAAAGCCCTCTCCCCCACCCAACACCCGCACCGCCGCTCCATCCTCGACCACGATTGTCCCTCCCTTACCCAGCGAGCCGTATTTCTGCTGCCGCAAACCACTGCCCCTCTCTTCTTCTTTCCCTCCTGATCTCCAACGCTTCTACACTTTCCTCGTCGACTCGCTCACTACCATATATCGCCCTCCGCCCGTGATCAAGCTCCCAGCATGCACTACTTATTACCGATTCTCGCATCTCTCCTTAACCACATGCACCGAAGTGCATCGATATTTCATCGCGAACGAGCCGCGCGACGAACTAGACGGGACGTTCTCCGAGGGCAGCGAGGAAAATGTGTTGAGCAAGGCTGGAGCGTTGGATGATGAGGATGGGGTGGAGCGGAAACAGGATGTGATGATATTGAGTCGGAATGCGAGATGTGAGGAGCATATGAAAGAGGGATATTGGTATGTTTTGATGAAGGTGGAACAGATTGTGGAGAAGGAGGTCAAGAATGTTAATGTAGGGTTTGTGGGGATGGATACGCAGAGGGAGACGCATGAGGAGGAAATGGATCATGAGATCGATTTGGATTTGTATACGTAGAGGTGAGGGGGGACTGGTGGATGAAGTAGAGTAGAATAGGGGATGGAAGAGTTTGAGGCTGCTGATGTTGAGTATGCTTTGTGTTGGGGTTAAAGATATACGTACGTGTCTCCGGTGTTCTATAACCAAATTGTTTATTCCAGGATATCAGCACATATGAGCTTTTGCATATTCTGAAAATGAATCGAAGAATCCTCCAATTATAGGGATTGATCAAAGAGATACTTTATATCCAGTTGGTGTATTGTACTCGTCTGGAATATAGAGTCCTATCGGAATTTAAACTGTGGTAGTGATCTATGGATTGCCGTCACCCAGACTTAGAGCAGACCATGTTCATTGAAGAAAGATCACGAGGAAGGAATCCTATATCCTATCTTGTTTTTCACACGATTCTCTTTTCTTATCGGCTACTTGGCTACTTGGCGACTTGGCTATGGAGAAAACTGGAAAATATTTTTAAATTTTAATTCAAAACCAGTTCGAAAAGCTGGCCAGACGACGTCCCTCTATAAGAGGAAGCTGCCTTATACCTCTTTAGTATTGTGGCTAATATGACAAGTGGTCAAAGTATGTTGCGGCAGATCATTTCTACTTATGATGGTTCCTCTTTCTGGTACTTCCGAAGAGGCTACATTGATTTCAAATGGATCCTGAAGCTCTAGTACATCAAGAACTTCTAGACTGTGCTGAGATAAATTGTTTCTGATTACCCTGCTTTCCGTACAGCTGTTTAGGGCGCGTTGTTTACGGGCGGTAAGTATGTATCTAGGGAGATGATTTGGATAGCATAGTGTGGAATGATAGTGAAGATAATGACCTAGCATGACTCTAGGAAAGATATAAGATTGGATTAAAGGGCCTCAAGACGTTGAAGTGAGCCTCTTATCTTACTATAACAGCACAGTGGCATTAAATGTTAAGAGTGAATGAGATAGAGGTAGAGATGTAGTCTGCCATTTGTCTCATTTGTGACTACCCTTGTTGGCGTGTTCAGCTTAATTGCTAGCTAGTAGAGAGGTGTTACGACGATAGCCTCGACACACTAGAATAACTGGAGCATGGCCTTGCCATCGTCTCTATGTTCTTCGTGCTTGAGAAAAGCGTGTACTCTAGACTTATGTCGTCCCTTCACTATTATGGAGAAAACGCAACCATTGAACACATGATAGGGAATATGGGAACACCAAGAAACTTTCAAGAGGTCACACGACCTAGTGTTACAAGAGACGAGTTCTGTACTGAGGCGGGGTCTCAAAATAGTGGGGAAAAGGTGTACCGGTTTTGAAAACAACTTGAAGGATCAAGTCCAGGCTCAAGAATGATGCTGTGGAGTAAGTGAAGCGGATGAGGCGCCGAGAAGTGTATTCTCAAGTGAAATAAAATTTAAGAGGTCGGATGCCAAGGGAAGAACAGCACAGTGTTTCTGGATGCAGCATTATTTTATGCGTTGATGTACATGCAGCCTGGAAATTCAGCCGCAGTGCTTGACTTGCGTTGCGTGGAACAGATCGTGTGGGTTCGAGATTCAAATGCCCGTTGAAGCATCTCGGCACGATATTTGTGGTCTAATCAAGCAACAGATGAAGACCGAAAACGCTCATTTCACCGCCACAACACGACGTGCGTGTCATGGGTATTCTTCGGTCCACTTTTCCCCATTAAATATCTCGTGGCGAACGAGTCGTTGCCGAATGATCCGTCCAATGCAGGTAATGGTTTCGGACGAGTTGTTCCAGAACTATTTCGGGAGTGAAAGCACGTGTACCCAAGCATACATACTTGTTCGATATATTTCACTCTATAACGGCACTTTCTGAATGCCAGCGATCTTTCCGGGTGCATGTATTCGAGCATTTACTTTCTTTGGGCAGCAGGTACTGTAGTATTCTGAAAAGCAAGCTTTTGCGTACCAGCCTTTTGCCTCCTCCTTGAGGATGCACACCCATTTGTGTGTCGGGCTCGAACAAATATAGCTGAAAGTAGAGGCTGTTATGCACCGCTTGGTATGAAACTGATTCTGCATAAATACGGAGATGCCACGGACGAACACCAAGTATGCTCCATACGTGGAATTCTCAATGGCTCGAGCTTCCCATAGCATGCTGATCTGGCAATAGCCAGACTCAATAATGCCCTCTTGGCTTCAAATTGTATTTTCCCTTGGGTTGGCATTCGGAACCTCATTATTTGTATTGAAATGGAAGAGGAGGTTGGTGGAAGTATTGTAGATGAAAACTCAAGGTCCGCTGGCTTAGCTTATTAAGTTGATGGGTTCGAGATAAGTTCGAGATAGGTTGATTGACTAATCCGCTTACTCATATAGGTAGTAACTGCCGACGGGCGTTTAACCCTTTTCTACCGCCAGCTTGCTGCTTTTCTATCATTCGGCGTTCTTCGTTAATCTGGTAAAAATGGCAACGGCTGAGCTAACTATTGTCAACTCTTAGTGCTTATTCGTGGACCTTCTCCACTCCCCCATCATCTTCTTTAGCAGAATAATCTCTTCCAATCATCCAAATATTCATTACAACAAGCATTGCTCCATCTTGTCTATCTATGGTCAGATTCAGCAGTTAAAGTTTGAGGCCTTTTGCGTCTAGAATGACCGAGTACTCCATTAAAGCACATAACAGCATGTGCAAACATATCATTGGTCGTGTCTTCTGAACTATCTGCTGGCAAGGATCGGGGAAGTCTCGCCGAAAAGTGTGGAATAGGCGCTGCATCCGCTGTACGGATATTCTTTGATACCAGCCATCTGGTCGAGTATGCAAAATATCCTGAGGGATTTGGAGGGGTGCTTGAACGGCATATTGGAAATATGTGGACCATCATCCAACAATGTGCGAAAGTGCACAAGAGTATGCGCTTCAACCGTTGATTGGACCCTTCGTCTTAATAAATTTGATTGTCCCTACCTACTACGAAAGTACAAGTAGAATAGTCCCCTCATACTTTCCTCAGTGACCTGTTTGTATATTTCTCATGTCGAATTTAGCGAAATCTGATATCGAGCGCTTAGGTCGCCAAAGACCGCCTCAGTTCAAGACAGTATGGATTGAAATTGGATTTGTGTATGTCATCATCCTCTTCTATCTTGTAGAATTGCCGTGTTCCATTTGTCCCATTTGAATCTTACGGGCGATGTTGATCTTCCAAATGGGGTTTCTCTCGAACCACCTGGAGACTCAAAACCCACCGATAAGGAGATAGTGTCTCGACTCCAACTGTCCCCCTTCAGTGCTGATTTATGAGATGTCTCAGATTTTCTACTTGTGTTTCTCAAGTTCTTTCGGTATGTCAAAATCAAATAGTGAGAGATGGTTACGTTCTTACGCCTTTCATATAGGAGTATTTCGTTAGCGGTTTTGCCGTCATTGTTCCAAGTCTTATGAAAGATCTCAATATCCCAATATCCTCATCAACATGGCCAGCATCAGCTTATTCTCTGATGGTTTCATCAGTAATGCTACCCTTCGGTAGACTGGCAGATATATACGGTGGAAGACGAGTTTATATGGGTGGTCTCGCGTGGCTCACGCTCTGGTCGTTGATTGCTGGATTCTCGAAAGATCAATATATGCTTGATATATGCCGGGCTTTGCAGGGGCTGGGGCCAGCTGCATTCATGCCATCCGGGATGATGTTACTAGGTCGAACATATCGACCAGGACCAAGGAAGAATCTCGTTTTCAGTGAGTAACCCTTGATAAAGCCAGTACACAGCTGACCGCTTCTTAGGTATATATGGTGCATGTGGGGCCGCTGGATTTTTCATCGGCATTTTCTTTGCTGGGCTGACTGCCCAATTTGCTACATGGGCATGGTATGTACAATCATATCTATTTGATGGATGAGATTAACCCGGTTTAGGTTCTTTTGGGTGGGGGCTATTTTGTCTTTCCTGAGTGTCGCTTCTGCAATGCTTTGCATTCCATCCGAAAACGATAAGCGCGATGACCTTCAGATGGATTGGCTCGGGTCAGGGCTTCTAGCAGCCAGTTTCATACTTTTCGTTTTCGCCATAACGCAAAGCGCTTATGCGCCGCACGGATTCAAGACCTCATATATCATTGTTACATTTGTGTCAGGGATAGTCCTTTTCGCAATCGCGATGTATGTCGAACGATATGTTGCAAGCCAGCCACTCCTACCATATTCGCTTTTTGCCGTCCCGAACATGAAACCTCTATTCATCGCTTTATTCTTCACATATGGAAGTCTTGGAGTCTTTCTTCTTTATGCTACATTCTACTGCACCAATATACTGGGTGCTTCGTGCCTGCAACTGGTTGCATGGTTTATTCCACTTGCTATTGGAGGATGTCTTATCGGTACATTCGGCGGCTTCATACTCCATCTCATTCCTGGCACAGCTCTGATCATATTCTCTGGTATATGCTGGATCATTGCCCCTTTACTATTCGCACTCGCTCCCATACATGCATCATTCTGGGCATGGGTATTCACCGCAATGACCTTTGCAACTCTTGGTATAGATATAACATTCAACGTCACCACCATCTTCATCACTACTTCTCTACCTTCATCTCAACAGGGTCTTGCAGGCGCCCTTATAAACTCGATAATGCAATTCTCTATCGCGGTATGCCTAGGTCTCTCTGAAATCATTGCAAACGCCGTGCAGAACAAAAGCGGAAGTTTGCGAGAAAGCTACAGAGCCGTATTTTGGTTCGAGGTCACATGCGCGAGTATCGCATTGTGCATCCTGATCCCCTTTTGCAAAATTGACTCTGCGACAGCTGGACTGACGGACGAGGAACGAAAGGATTGTGAAGTGGAAAACAAGAATGCTAGTAACCGTTCTACGGAGATAGAGAATACGGATCGGGGTACCCGTGCGGGTCATTTCGAAACACCATCTTCCTCTTCTGATTCGCTGGGTCAACAAGCATGTTGAGCCTAGTTTCTTTGGTGCACACTCTTATTGGACATATATATATATATATATATATACATATTTGGTATTCTCGGTTTTGTGAAAATAGGGTTAGGGAGGACAGTATGATTAACAGCGAGGAGTTGGAACGGATGGAATCTCGGTTTAGGAAACAAGAAAGGGGGTTGTTTGGGAGTATCGCGAACTGTTCTATTTATATGAGTGAGGAGGGTTATGCTGCAATTTTGAGCCTTGAGATTTTCCGAGAGGTTGCGAGTACAACATGCACTGGGAAACGTGGAATACTTCTAGAATGAATATTTAAAATTTAAACGTCGTGTGGTCAGATAGAATCATATATGCACTCGTAGTTTCTGTTTTTGTGTCAGCTACAATGAAACCATTGAAAATTCCCATCCTGCTATGTTATGATCAGGTGCAAGTTTAGGGGCGAGTTTGATATACATATGACTGAAGAAGATTATAGTATCAGTAGAAGTATCTAATTACACAAGATGACTTGATATCCGCAGACGATAAAACAATCAATATCACATATCCAATATCCGATATCCCAATTCCACAAAACAACAACAAGCATTTCAAAGCCCGCAACGAAATAAAAAATAAAAAATCCATTTACCGAGAGTTCCGGAAAGAGTCTCGATCAGACGCAAAGGTACAAATTACACTAAACCGGATCACATAGTCTATCGAACATAACATTACCAGATAATACAATTTCGAAATCGGAGAAAGGGAGTCTTCTCTCCCTTTAGTAAACAAAAGATAATAGTAGTAACAAGCAGCGAAAAGAGAGAGACAGAGAAACAAACCAGTATTTATAAAACAGGCTCTAGAATAATATGAATACGTACAATACATGCATGCTGCAAATATCGTTAAACATCTATACAAACAAGATAACCCAAACCAAATATCAAGTGCCTACCTACTAGGTAGATTCTCTTCCTAACTCCCAACGCAAACGCGATGATTAAATCGAAAATCACACACCATAAAAAAAAAGAAACGGATCATAGTTAGGACCTAGGCACTCACGCACATTTCATTTAGTTCCTCTCAGATGCTCTCCCTAGCTTTTGTTCTAGCATTGCAATTCATACTCATACCCGAGTACACGCACCTGAATGCTTAAAACCCAATGAGAAATTTACCCCTCCGCAAGTCTCACAAACAAACCCCCGAAAATTCTAGTCGCCTACCACCATTCCACTCTTCAACACACATTTATAATCATATTTTCAAATTGAAAGATACGCAAACCATCGAGTACATTTCACTTCACTAAAAGCAGACAGAATATCAACAAACAAGACAAGTAAGCAAGTGAGCGAAATCCGTTGATTGATACGCTATACCATACACATCTTTGAAACTCCGCTAAACCCCTATCAACAATGACGCCATGATAGCTAACCACATATTTTCCTTTTCACATATACCTAATTTTCCTTTCCGTTATCCGCGACGCTAGTTTTAGCCCCAAGATCTCCTTGCTGTAAATTTCCCTTTGGGACTGGTTCCCCTTGGCTCTGATTTAAACTTTCCCCCGAGCCCGATAATGATTCTTTCAAACTGGTCATTTGAAAACTATCATTTTCCATGGGACTTTCCTCCATCTTGACACCTGAATCCACAAAGATTGGCTCTTTCTCTTCTTTACATACTCCATTTTCGCAGAGGAGTATCTTAGTCTTGTCACTCTTCCACCCATCCTTCAACAATGGATTTCGCTGTCTCAACCACTGTCCATTTCCCTCTGAAGAATTCAACCGAACAATCGATCCTAAAGAGCCCCGGGGCTGCTTTACAGATTGTTGGACCCGTCTTCCCCCTAAATCATCACCAGGTGCGTCATGAATCACCACACTCACTAAACCCAAGTGACTTGCTACAATTGCCGGCATGAAACTAGGGAATAACCACGGATATTGCAACATCTCGGATTCAAAACTTTTCACAGTTTCTTTCGCCTTCTTCGCATAAGATTCATCTTTGAAAATTGAAGATAGGCGATACAAATTCGAGGAAGAGACGCCATTCGTAGAGGGTTCAGCAGAATCCATGGCATCTTTGAGGCGAAGGATTACGTCTGGAGCAGAGGCGGTAGTTGAAAAGAATGCACCTGTACCATCCCCGTCGTAGAAAAGATTTATTTGTGATTCTGTTGATTGCCATTAGTATCACTATGTATCAATTGGAAGAAGGATTACTTACGTTGAAGTTCATCGGCCCATTGAAGCCACTTCTCGTCGAAAGTATTTTCATACAAATCGATGAGTCCTTCAATCAAAAATGCATAATCGTCGGCAAATCCTTGAGTATCACCTCGTCCTTCACGCCAGATCCGGTAGAGAATCTTAGCTTTATCGTCATATAGATTTTCCTTGATAAATGTAGCTGCCTTGAGAGCTGCATCTAGGTACTCTTGAGCCTTGACGGGATCGAAAGCGTTGATAACTGAGGATAATCTAGCTAAAGCCCCTATCGCAATACCATTCCAGCTGACAACGATTTTATCATCCATAGCCGGTTTCACCCGCTCAGCTTCTCGACGTTTTCTTAATTGCGCTTTGCCTTCCTTGATAACCTTTATAATTTCAGCCTCCTTGATGCCAAATTGACTGGCCAATGCAGATGGAGTGCTTGAAATGGCCAATACGTTCTGGTCCATGAATTCGTCATGTGGATCATTCTCCTGCGCCACATTACCGTGACTAGTAACATTGAAGAAAGCGGAAAGTATCAATCCACGTTCGCTGCCAAGAATATTTTCAAATTCTCGTTTAGTCCAAACGTAATAGGCGCCTTCTCGTTTCTCGGAATCACCATTTTTATAATAACTGTCGGCATCTTCGCTTGAATAAAATCCTCCCTCCGAGTGTGAAAGAGTGGTCGTCAGATAATTTGCGATATCGTATGCGACTCCTAGGAACTCCGGGTCTCGCGACAAAAGAAAGCCATCCAAATAGAGATGTAGAAGCTGTGCATTATCGTAGAGCATTTTTTCGAAGTGGGGAAGAGACCAATCTGCAGTAGCAGAATATCTAGCGAAGCCATTTCCAATATGATCATGAATTCCACCACGTGCCATTTTGCGAAGAGTTGTAAGAGCGATTTCCTGGGCGTGTTGACAATCAGGAAGTCCAACAATATCAATTACAGCCCCTGGGTATTGGCTCAAACGGAGCAAGAAGGCAATTTTCGAAGGAGTGGGAAACTTTGGAGCTGAACCAAACCCTCCATTTGCCTGATCATAGCTACTAGCGAAATGTTCAGTGACTTCTTCCAGTAGTTCGAGATCAATATTGTCCACACCCTCCCCCAGTCTGTTACTCAAGGTACCCTCATTAGCGAAATCCTTCAATTGCTGCAAGCTTTGTGCCGAATCCTGTCTACATCGCGATTCTTGTTCCGACCAAACGGTACTCAATTTATCCAGAATTCCCAAAAAGTCGACCTGATCTTCGAAATCTGTCGTCTTGCTTGGCCCCCGCCAATATGTACCCCCAAACACTGGCTCCAAACTCGGTGTCAGAAAGACATTCAGTGGCCATCCTCCAGAGCCAGTCGTCGCTTGCACAAAGTTCATGTAAATTCTATCAATATCCGGACGTTCTTCGCGATCGACTTTGATGGGTATAAATGAGCTATTTAATCTCGCAGCTACTTCTTCGTTTTCGAATGACTCGCGCTCCATTATATGGCACCCTTTGTTCCATGTCGTAAGCCCTTGATCGTGTTTTTGGCGAGTTTCAAAGGAGGGAGAACTTACAATGACAAGAGCTGTAACCAATGCTCACAAACAACAATTTATTTTCCCGACGCGCCAAGTCAATTGCTTCATCTCCCCAAAGCTGCCATGCCACCGGATTCGCAGAATGAGCGCGAACATATGGACTCTTGCTTTCACTGGCCCTATTGACCAGCTGCACCTTATCATTCTTCTGTTCCGGTACTGTCGTAGTGGCCTTTCCCAACATACCCTTCAAAGCCTGTCCAATGCCTTGCGCCTCCCCCACTCCACGCATGTTTGAACTCATCATGCTCTGAACTCAAATGTCTATCTTTGAATTGAAAGGTTGAATGGTCTTGAAGTGGACCGTAATCTGTATGTTCAATCTCAAATGGGAAGGTGAAATTCGCGTGCGCGAGAAGTGGAGTTGAGTTGTCTGTGTTGTCGAGTTGACTCTCAAGGTCACTAACGGCTGCCTCGTTATCCTGATAAAATAGCACACTTTCGTTTGCGAAGGACGACTTTGTTTCAAATGAATATCAGATATAATTCAAGATGTCTCACACTCAAATATATGTCTAAAAATAGGCAAAGCATTAAAAGAAGAGTACACACACTACCTGAATCCAGAAAGATATCTTCATGTATCTAATATTATGTGAAGATAGAAAAAAGTCGAGACATTTCTAGGCGTATCGCCTTATCGTCAGTATTCCATCACCTCTTTCTTGATTAGCTCAGATATAGGCACGGACCGTTTTATCCCGCAGCTGCGCTGCCACTACCGAAGACTGACTCATTTTTTGCCAAGCTTTATTCATCCCGCGCAAATCTCAATCACACCTCACTTCAACCATGCATCTATCGTCACATCGTCGTAGATCCGTTCGAACTAGATCGGATCAACACCCAAGAACGCGGGTGAAGATTAACGAGATTCCTCATTGGCCTGAAGGCAATCGATCAATCATCTTACATTTTGGCATGCCTTTAGAGGAATGGTAAATCACAATCAGAACACAGTCAAATCACAATCACAGATGCAGGAACTAATGAAGTTTTGGAAAAAGGATCTCGAGGACCTATTTAAGTTTAACTATGTACAAGAACTGAATGATGAGCAGAAGAATGCTAATACGTGCGAAATAACTTAACGCGATTAGGAACCCAAGTCTATCAAGGGGTATCTAAAAGGCGCAACGCATAAAGTCAAGAAGGTCGTCAAACACCCAGGGAAGACGCGAGATCCATCCATTTCTGTCCATTTTTTATATGATGTCGTTAGATGCGTATCGAAGGTATGGAGTTGCGGTCCAGAGCTCGGCAACAAAACCCCCCTCTCAATAGAAGTTCATACATGAAAGGTAAGTTTAGCTCCAGAGCTTAAACGCCAAGAACTCCTTTATGTGCAAATGGGCATGATATCATTTAAGAAAGAACGTTGGTGGCGAATTCACCGATAACGTTTCCTGCTGGGTAGTAGTTGCAGACGCTGTACCAGATGTACATGCCCGGGTAGATGGAGTTGTCGGTTCCGCAAGTCTTGACGGCACATCCAACTTGACGGGATCCTTGCCAAACAATTTGAGTGAAATGCAAGAAGTCACCAACAGCTTCAGATGGGTTGGCAACACCGTACAATGATCCGAAGAGAGACTCCTCTTCATACCATTGCTGAATATGATCAGCGAGGGCGGCTTCGGTAGTAAAAGCACCCGAGTTAGAGTTTCCGGAAACAGCGATGTTTTGTCCGTATCCACCACCACCAGCGGTCCTATTTTGTATTAGCTCATATTCTCACACATGAGGAAGGAAGAAAACTTACAAATCATGGGCGAATTTAGTGCAACTACCCTCTTGAGCGGCGTAGTCAGCAAGAGTTTGATTCCAGGTCATGGCGCTAGCTTTGTGACTAGCACGAGCATTGTTGTGTGCAGCGACACAAGTTGGACTGAGAGCATCGGTGGCGGAGGCAGCTTCAGTAGTAGCAGCAACAGGAGCGGCGGAGCTTGTAGTGACTTCAACAACCTTGGCGGCGGCAGCTTCGTTGGTAGCTGGAGCGGCGGCGTAGGTAGCTGGAGCTTGGGTTTCAGTAACGACAACGACAGCTTGGGAAGTTGTAGTTGGTGCCGGGGCAGGGGCGGCTTGAGAGTGAGAATGTCTGTGAGGTCTAGATTGAGCTGGGGCAGTGACAGTCACGACAACGGGAGCGGGGGTAGATTCGGCTCCAGCAGTAACGATGACTGGCTCTCCAGTGACAGTGACCATGACCACGTTTGTAACGACATCAACATGTGTCTCGACGACTTGAGCGGCGGGAGCGGCGATCTCAAGACCCTTCTTGACGAGGGGAGAAGCAGCTGCAAAGGCAGCGCAGAGGGAAGCGACAACGATTGAGGAACGCATTTTGATTGATGTTGACGGGAATGTGGGGGTTTAATTTCCTTGTGGTGAGAAGACTTTTGAAATTTCCGTTGCTTTCTTCGAGAAAGTGGGTGAGAGAGAGTGTACTTGGACCGGGAGTTTCGTTAAGAAATTGGCGTTAAAAGATTGGCAGCACTGCTGTACTCGTGAGGATATATTCTTTCGAAGAATTTCAAGCTGCTCGAATGAGTGTAAGTGCCTCGAAAGACTGGTTGTAAGGAATGTAAATGTGGTGGTGGTGGGTAAAAAGGACAAAATACAGATGGGTGGAAAAGAAGGTGGTTTTATTTCAAAGGAGTAAAGTTTGATGGATGGGCGAGACTGGGGTTGGTTTGCTGGTGGAGCGGTGCTAATAAGATTTAGTGGGTCCGTTGAAAGTGCTTTGGTCCAGGGTTTCTGGTGGAAAGTAGAAGGATTGGATGATGATGTTTAACAAGGATATTTTCTAATCAAAATAACTAAAAAGGGTAATGAATGTTCAAATAAATGAGTGAATGTAGATAATATTCTGGTGAATGGAGTTTGGAAGAATTGAAGGGGGAATTGGATGGATATTAAATAATCAAGGGTAATTTCCATAGACTGCGTACAGATCGATAATGTCGATGAATTCCTTTGAAGTTATATCGAGATATCAGACTTCTCTTCTCTATCGGCAAAAGATTCCCTTTATCTTTATTAATAAATCTTTCCTCGAAACTCGTCATTCAGGTACCAAAAAGCGAATGGGAATACGATAATAGAAACTAGACAATCACATTAAATCCGTTCTTTATTGCTCAGAATAGCAACACATAAAGAAAGCACACAAGTACATTATTTACGACAAGAACACCTATCTTCATCATGAAAGAACTCTCTTGTCAATTTGATAGCGTACGGGATAGACCGAAGATAGCGCATCCACGATGCTAAATCTTCACTCATGCCAACTTCACTTACCTTGAGGAATTCCAAGTAGCGTACTAGCGTATTAATATTTCTTTAATATGCAGACAGACTCAATGAATGAATAAAAGATCTTTCTCTCTTTCTCTCTTCTCCCGTATTACCTAGGTAGGGACTGTAAAGCGAAAAGCACGAAAGAAATAAGATGAACCAAGAAGAAACCAGGATGGCTTAGACGAAATCTCTCGGAGGGCATCGACTCGATTTTGGAGCGGAGAGGAGGTCTTCTGCAGGGGGTCGTGTTCTTCGAGCGTCTGTAATTGGATCTCCTTCCCACACGGAGGGTTAGCAAACGAATCATGCTGCTGCAAGATGAAGGTGCGGACACTAGGGGAAATTCTGGATGGGCGCTCGATGGGCTAGTGGTAGGGGTGGCCGCTGTCACTTTGCACTCTGCTTGAAACACTTTATACAAGCCTTCTTTGCTTCATCTCGGACAGCCGGGACTAAGGACGGTACGTACTTTTTGGGTTTGGGTTTGCATGGAGAGTGGTGGGTGGGTGATGATGGTGATGGGGTTTTTCGTGGATAGACAGGTTGGTAGCGGTCACTTTGTGATGTGAAATGATATGAAATGATATAAAATGATCTTGATGCGAATAAAATTATGATGTGAATATCGAGAGTAAAATGTAAGATGAGGAAGCAGAAGCATAAAACGTCTGGAGATTATAATTTCACATCTGATTCAAGCATAGATTTAGATTCATCGATGAGGACCGACCCTGGTGTGAGAGAGAGCTTGTCGGTGAATAATCCGTAGGAAATGATTATTCAGAACGCGATACGAATCGAATCATACAATCAATTCATGAGAACGAGAACACGAACGCTATTTTCTCTCGAAACAAATCTCGTTCGTGAACGCAACGACCGGGGAATTTGGCGCTCTTGTATCATCATGAGATGCACGAGGAGAGAGAGGGATAGTGCCATGTTTCAATTGAAACAGTTTTGTACCACGGTGTCTGTAGACGTATTTCATTTTCATACTCAATGGTGAAGATCTAACGTTTTCACAATATTGAAAAGGGCCCAATGCGATGATACATTCGATGGTTTGTCGATTTTCCATGATTTTTCCGCGTGGAGAATTCAATAGATGGGAGGAATCAATTATTGGGATGGATGCATTATTAGTTAGCTACGTACGTACGCACGTACAGTGTATATACAGTAAGGAGAATCTCGAAACGCTGGAGGCGAGGAAAGGGAAGAGGATGAAAATCTGACTGGATTTTCTGGGAATATTGTGAAAGCCGAAACAAAGCCTCAATGTGATGTATGTATATTTACCAAAAAGATCATTCCTGGAGGATCAAAAAGATTGGGTTGAATATTTTGGCGGAGATCACGGTGGTCGTTTGGTGAGCCTTAGGGTCGCGTGTTGGAGTGTTGATGGTCAGGTGTAAAGAGCCTTGGCTGGGGAATGGCCTAGTAGGCATTCCTTTACAGACACATAGATCAATTGACAGATACTACCTAGGTAACCTAGGTCCATAGAGCTTGTACTAGGTAATCATTGTTGATGAAGCATTGAATCTAATCATCGGGTCACTGTCATTCATCTATCTACTGTAAATTCCCGATTCATCCAACGTCACATTGTATGAGGTATTTAAATCTCCAACCAAACGACAGGTTCATAATCACACACGAATATCTGATGCTTCCCGTGCCACGGAAAAGCACATCAGAAAAGACATGTATAAAAGCTCATCCAGCAAACGTGATGTTATATCGAGAAGTCCAGATGCCACAGAGCATGCGGCAGTTCATCTCGTATTGATTAATGAAACGACCGGGTGGGACCAACAAGATTTCCAACAGGGTCTCGCATGAATTTCGCTCCCTGAATGTTGGTGCTTGTCAAGATTGCAAGAACGAGAGTCTGGGGTTGACATGGATGAGCAGCGAGATGTTGCAAAAACTCTCTGTTGGTTGCGTTTTTGTTTCGTTTCGGTTTGACCTAGTTAACCAGCTAGCAAGCAAACAAAAGCTATGGTATAATGCAGCTCAGCTCAGCTCCGAAGAATCACAGATTCTTAAACTTAAACTTGTAATGACATGCAGACATGCAGACATGCAGACATACATAGGTACATACATAGGTACATACATACATGCATGCTCCAAAAACTATATTGAAAATCTCAAAGTTAGGGAACTGTAAAGGATCCCAGATTCTTGGACGGAGGCCTAGAAACCATTTCGACGACCCTCATCATACGTGAATCATATTTCTTTGGTAAGAGGAACTGCAAGGTCTAGAGTATCTATCCATTCTTATTGGATTTTCGATTTTCTCGGCAAGCTTGCGAGAATCTTGTACCTGCATTAGATCTCCTCACCATAATCAGGAACTAACAATTAGCCATTAGCCGAGCATTTTTCTTCCCGAACGTCTACAGTCTGGGAAGCTGATAGGTAGGTACAATACCGGTACATACCCAGGAAGAATCAGGGGTATCAAATGGATTCATGAGAAAATAACTTTCGTCTGATTCGTACAGAGAATATGCCTCACGAGTTTTATGTATGGTTTAGAAATTGTAAACCTACTACACGTACCGATACTTAGTTGTCTATGTGACTGACTACCTACCTATCTACAAAACGTAACCAGGAGAATAAATTAGTTCGCAGCCCCAAACAGTAATAAGTAAGGTTAGTCTTTTCTTTTAACATGTTTGATCGTAAAGCTTGGCATAAAGGGGAAGATGGGGGAAAAGAAGCAAAGGAAAAAAAAAGCATTGATCTGATAGCTCGGAGTTTTTGATACACCATTCATAGGGATAAGATATTACTGTTTTACGATAGCTATCAGATCTTCATTGCAATACGTAGCTAGGCACAGTGCGCTCCGCAGATCGTCACTGCCGTGTTTGCATTATTGTTGCATTACTGCATGCAAAAGGCCGATTTCCTTTTCCTGTTTTCTTGATTAGATTAAGATTGGAGAGCAGTCGTGGCTCTTTTTCTATGGAGATGCTTGCTAATGTTAGTTACCATGTGAGAATGTCCGTTTGTAGTCGTAATCCGCTGCATCATTTTGTGTTCACCGTTAGATTACCAACCATCAATTTTGACTTTTCATTCTTCACCGTCCCCGACTTCTTTCGCGGAATCAAAATATGAATCGAAATCGAAATTGTCGTAGCCGCGTAGGATACACTCACTGTATGAGGCACATAGCTCAACAAACAAATCTCCATCTACCCCATCAACTCCATCTACCATTAAATGATCCTTTACGTGTTCATCATTTTATTTACCTCATTCAATTAAACTCACTCTCATATATTACCCATTTTATATCCCACCTACCTAGGTACTCCATTCCCGGATCCACGCAACCTTAGCACGAACCAATTATCCCAATCGTTCTAGAACTCAAGGGAATCTTTGAGGGGTTAAGAAAAATGGCCCTACAGGCTATATGCCCTACATGCCCTGGAAACCCGTGTCCGGATGACCAGGATTTCTGCTGGGGCCTGACGTTCATGAAATGAGATTTTGATTGCGATTTTTGGTACAGACGGTCACTACGGTCGGTGTATGGATGGACAGGACTCCACCGCGGCATCTCCATCCCATCTCTCTTTTGCGCCTAGGGAAGAAAGGTGTGTAGGGGAATCCCTTTGTTAATATCATGACCTTGCAATCAACAGAGTCGAGAAGAGATCTGCATAAAAAGCTTAGAAATGGGAAATGGGAAACACTGGTACTGTTGATGCCGCTATTGATTTGGTGTACAAAGAGAAATTGAAGATATATTTCGCATGACAAGACAATGAAATTTATTTATTTATACCAACGGAGACGCCGCGTCGTCATGATGTTCCTTTGAAGAAAGAAAAGTTGACTCAGCCTCAGGAAGAGAAAGGAGAATTTATGACTCGGATAGGTAGGCGCGGACAAAGTATTGGAAAAATGGCAAGTTTAGCCGATGAAGATCCGGTCAAAAGCGTTAATAGACTTGAGTAAAACATATTCTTTCCATCACGATATCAATGTCATGATCAATTTTCATCTTCTACAAAGCATTGCCAATAAGTTTATGGCTCCAAGCGTTGTGTAAAAGACATTTTCCTTTGTGATAGCTCCAGTGGAACGATGTCATCTCCACACATTGTGAGCTTTGCTCCATGGTAACAGCTAATATTGTAAATATCGCTCATATGAACCAATATTCTTATTATCCCCTTCTACTTCAAACAGTGATCGGCGACTCTGTGTCTCTGGATAGAGTCGTGAACGTCGGAAGAGGTCAACATGTGATGGTAGTCCATAACACGACATTGACAGCATGCGATGGCTATCTAATGGGGAACTGAGTGTGCTACGTGTAATGGGGGCCGGTTGCGTTATGGATAGATTCCAGTATGTACATTGAAGATTTTTTACCTTCTAATTGTATTGGGTATGGTGAAAGCGTCCGGTATGGGTACGAGTGTATGCCACATTATGGATAGGTTGAATGGTATGGTAGAATGAAATTAATTGACAATCTAAGGAGTTTCCTTTGTTTACAAGTAAAAGAAATAACAAAGGCAAGTAAAGAAACTTAGCTCTACTCAACACACTACACAGAACTCTCTTTCCCAAATCCATTCTCCCACAGTTACTTAAATAGCCCTCCCTTTTTTCGGATCAAATCCTCCGGCGCTCCATCCTCCACCACGCTCCCCTTATCAAGAACCAAAACTCTATTGTAACTCTTAATGGTTCTCAATCTATGAGCTACAGCAAGTACTGTCCAGCCCTTAAATTCCTCATCCAGAATCCTCAACATGATCTCTTCACTAGCAGAATCAACATTGCTCGTCACCTCATCGAGCACCAGAATTCCATGATCCTTATTTCCCAACGCCACTTTCCTGATCAATGCTCTTGCGATGCAGAAAAGTTGCTGTTGACCTTGACTGAGAGGCGTTGCCTCCATGGACGCTTCCAAACCTCCATTATCGCATATTGTGTCCCATAGTCCAACACGAACAAGCGCAGTCTGGATTGCTTGATGGTCTAGAGAATGAAACGGGTCTGCATTGAAGCCGACAGTGCCAGATAGAAAGTAAGGTTCTTGGGGAATGGTGATGAAGGAACAGCGTACTAATTCACGGCGCAGAGTAGAAATGGAGATGTTATCAATGAGGATATCTCCTGTTTTAGCTCGAGTATCCGGAAGAGTGCCAGTATTAGAGATGATTTCCCACTATGGGAAGATAGGTTAGATATTTTAACGTTGAGAATGGGAAAGGTACACTCACGACCCAGTCCTTCCAACTATACCCAGCTTCGTGCCACCCTCGATACAGAATGAGACACCCCGCACAGCAGGTTCATCGTTGCTGTTGATACTATTAGTAAATTCTATGTAACTTCTCCGATTAGGCTCTTACCCATAAGTAGCAGTTACATCTCTGAACTCGACTTTAGCCTTAACAGGCCATTCAGGTGGCGGTAGATTAACTTCCAAAGGACCATTTTCCGACAAAGTATTCGCTTCAAAACTCTTCACTCTAGCTACAGCACCAATAGAAGTTTCTAGCTGAGTCCATTTTCTAATAAGAAAGCTCAATGTCGAGTTGAACTGTAGAATGTTTACTAAAGCGATACCGAGAGTACCGGCACTAGTAGTCCTACGCATTTGTGTTGCAAAAGTGATGAGAATAACAGCAATACCAGCAATGATGAGATCCAAAACAAGATTCAGCCATCTTTGTATACAGTAAAGTAAGTAATAGGGTTTTTGTGAGATATCCAGGAGTTTTCGATTCTTCTCAGCGGATTGTGTTTGCCATCCAAAAGCACGGATCGTCGTGAGTCCACTGAGCGTTTCGGTAAAATGTGAGTAGAGCGGTGATTTGGATTCTAGATCTAGCAACCGAAGTTGTCTTGATGTCTTCAAGTACACTTTCTGGAGAATATAAAGAGTTCCAATTATGAATGGAAGAATGACTCCGACGTATTTGGCTCCAGTGGCGATAAGTATTGCTTGAGCAACTGCCATGAATGTACCTGCGAATGTGTCCACGATTCCTATTAAGAGCTCCATGTCGATTAAACTCATATCTTGACTGAATCTATAAAATGTCAGTTGATATCTACAAGTATTAGATGTTTAAGGTGCCTACCTGTTTAGCGTTATCCCGCTATCAGTTGCCGTGAACCAGGAATATGGCGCAGTCATGACGGTATGTAAGAGCGTGCGGTGAAGATTTATAGAAGCGTATGGACCTGCAAATAGCAATGTGACGCATAGCAATCCCCCGATTCCACACAAGGCTAATATGGATAGCATTGCGTACAAGCCCATATACATGTTAGTATAGACACCTGAATGAGTAGTCTCCGCTTTGGACCATAGTTCCAGGAGAACAGCTTGGAATTCGCTGGAGAACGTATACAACACTACTGTTGCGATGAAAAGAGAGAAATGGATCCAGCCTACGGATTTTGCGAAGTAGAAGTACACACTGGCATCACCATCTTGGTGGTTGAAGTCGTTGATTTCAGCCGATTTTGGTCTAGTCAGCGTTTTGTTCGCGGTTTCTGTGACTGTGACCTCAGCTAATTTCTCATCTGGACTTTCATAGAAAATCAAGTCTTTGACATAGCTATCATCGTTTTCTCGCAGTGTTCGAAAGTTTCCCTGTTCTACAATGGTGCCATTGTTAGAGAGAACAATAATATTGTCGGCAGATTGCAGATGTTCAACTAAATCTCGTCAGCTCAGTTCATTTTGTTTGCGGTCTTACTCGAGTTTGCCCTTACCCGCATGCGTGGCAAGAACCACAGTTATGTTATGCAACTTGCAAAGTCCTTCTTTACCAAAAGTGTTGCGGAATACAGCTTTATTTGTCTTGTAGTCCAGTCCGCTGAAAACGTCGTCTATCAAAAGCAAGTCCTTTCTCGAATATAATGCGCGTGCCAAGGCCTAATCAGGGTTAGCCTCAATCCAGGGAAGGAGGTCAATTTTTCAAAGCAAACAGTAATTCGACTCACCAATCTCTGCTTCTGTCCACCGCTCAGAGTAGCCCCATCACTACCGATGATTGTTTCCTCGCCATCCGGAAATTTGGCAATGTCATGATGAAGCACACAAGCCCTGAGCACATCATTATACCAAACTTCATCATAGCTCGATCCCGCCAGCACGAGTTCCCGCAGCTTGCTATTGGGCAACCATGGTGTCTGAGAACAAAACGCAATATTTGAAGTATTCGTAAATACGAATCCTTTACTACTTGGTAACTCTCCAAGCATTGCTTTCAGAAGACATGACTTTCCGCTTCCTACAGCACCAATAGCCATTGTCTAAGTACCACGAGAAATCTCAACATTGATATCTTTGAGAACTGGTGTACCTTTGGATGAAAAGATAAATGATGCGTCCTTGATTGTGATGATATTTTTGTTTCTGTCATGGATCAAAGTGATGGGCTTGACCGATTTAATTGTTTGTGACTCGATCTCATGGGAAGCAACATGAACAGTATCTCGGTATTTCTCAGATGTCGAGATGCGTTCAGAATCTGGACTAGAAAATCTAGGATCGTTACGGTCTTTGGTCCCGATGTAAGTCTGGATTCTTTCTATGCACCCCATTGCCGCAGCAAATCTTCCTTTCGAGTTAGTAATATCATCTGAATGTTCATGAAAACAACTTACGTAGGAATAGTTTGAACCATTTCTGAGACTGGCGTACTTAATAATGAAATCAAAGACAGGCTAGTAAAAGCCTGCCCAATATTCAACGTTGCCGAGTCCTTGGTCCTTTGAATAACAATATAGACAATGAATGTTATAGCTGGCCCGCACAGGGTAGTGATGTTCGATGTCACTGCCGTGGCAATGATGTTTCTGCGAAATGGCTTGGCATACTCGAGTTCCTGAACACGAAGCTCTTGTAAGTCTTCAGATAACCGTGTTGTTAGTCCCTGAATTTTGATACCCCTTATTGATTTGAGTGCTGAAGATGTAATTGCAACACGCTTTTGTACCGCTTCGACCCATTCCTTCTGAGTATGCTTTGCCCACTTCATGATTGAAAATGCTCCAATCGTGCATGCTACGGATATTAGTGAATGATATCTCAAAGTGTCTAATCTGACTCACCGAGTGAAACAATGACAGGCGCGATACATGCTAGGCCCATTTCCCGCTGCAATAAATATGTCGCGATTCCCGCTTCAATCGGGCCAGCCCATAGACTATCAACACTACTAAATCCAGTTCCAATGCGTTCAATATCTGTACTCATCAGCGTGACTGCTGCAGAATCACCGGTAGAATTCACATCAAGGGACAGCGTTACATTGTAGATGACGCAAACTAGTCCTCCTCTAACCATGGTGATGACTCGGAATATCTGGTGTTGATACTGGGCGGTGCTAACAGCCAAGCCAAGGTATATAAGAGCCGTTGCACCAATTAATGCATATCCGATATTCTTGTTTCCTGCCGTCTCGGGAGCGTCAATCAAAGAGATTGCTCGATTTATGAGCAATGGCTGAGAGAATTTGAACCCGATTAAACAAAGACGCGGAAATATAAGTGTGAGCAGAGGAACTTTGAAACTCTTAAGAATAGCGAAGAGGAGGGAATATTTTCCATTGGGCGATTCATTTCGCCATGTATTTTGCATCTTTGCCTCCAAAGAAGATGATGACAAGCCTTTATCGGTGTCAAATAAATCAACAAGACTGAGCAGCGTTCTCTGTCCCTTTTGAATGAGTGTGTTTAGCCACCAAAAAAAACCTGTATTTATAACTCCTGCCAAGGCTTCAGGAGGGTAACTGTTGTAAGGCTCTTTTAAAAAAGACCTCTTTTCGGACGCTTCAACACATAGTAGAATTGCTTTGGTCAGAACGCTGCATGTGAACAGCACCGGTAATGCCGTGCTCCTGTGTTGCAACCAAAGTGTCCTTACTTGAGCGATATCAAAAAGTGTACATAAGAGGAGGTAAGTGCAGATCAAGAGGGAAGGGCGCGCCGATCGATTATTCTCCAAGTTCGATAGCGCTGCAAGGCCAATGGTAGCGATTACTGACAACGCAGATGCTGGCACAGATACGGGTGTCTTTTCACCGTTGGAAACTATCCATAATGCTAAAATAGCAATTTGAAAACACAACAATGCCGATATTACAATCTGCCATTGTTAGCTTGATGCATAGGAGTCGTAAGAAGAAGATGAATAATTACAAGTTTGAGAACCCAAAGAAAGTTCGGTGGTGTCTTTCTATCTTTCCGATAGAGCTGAAGTATCCTCAGAGAGAGCAGTAGCATGAACAGTGTAGATGGGCCGACAGTGAAAATGCTTTGTTCAAAGAGTAATGTGAAGTCGAATTGCCTTTGGCATGGCTGGACACGAGGACCAAAAAAGGCATCTGCATTTGGAAGACAATTAATAGAGTTATCCATGGTCTTGGAGTAGAGTCCTGGAGCAATTGTCCGCCCAGTTTCAAATGATTCAGCAGGAATTCAATAAGACTCTATTCAACAGTTGATCTGAAGGCTATGTGCATGTGCAATTTCCTATTTCCTGGGTGACAGCTAAGCTGCAAGCCACAGAAAGAATGGATTTTTTGTCAGAACGATGTTGTGCGTGTAGAGAAGAAGAATAATATAAAAAACAGTGTAATCAGGACATGATACCTAGGAGGTTGGGTACACAGGTACCGTTCGAAGATGGTTAATCGAAGATCAAAGCTTATACTTGAACGGCTAGGATCCCGCAATCCGCTAGACGTTTTCCAGGGCACGCAAGGAGTCGTTTCTGTGGGGCGACACCTCTTTTGGGCAGGTGCACTGCACATAACGTTCCATTGTTAGGTATATTTTGGAACGAGTCCTACCAGGCAATGAATTTGATGGGATCCTTCCAAAAGACCTGCAACGCCTCCCCCTTTTTCTTCTGGAACCCTTCTCAATCCTGTTGATGACTTATTAAATCCTGGGACCATCTTTTCTGGCACATTGAAAGCGCCATCTATGAACAAATTAGCCTGATTTTTCTCTGGATTTCAAGCGAAGCCTACAATTCCAGAGTTCATCCCATGCTTTCTCCAATTCGGGAGTTGGCGAACCTCGATAAACAGACTCGTGAAAAAAGTCATTCTCAAATGTAAGCCATTCATAGTCGATATGTTTCGTCAAAGGTGCTAGGAATCGATGGGTTAGATCTGGCAGCACCCCTCAAGATACTTTTATACATAACTTACAAGGAGCAGACATTTTCTGAGCACACTGCAAATCGCTTGGTTCCAGGCGAGAGGAATATAATAAGATGAGAACGGATGAACAGAAAAATAAAAGAGATATCCCAAAAAGCGATAATCTCGCAGAATTATGAGAGATGAATGCTCTTCGAAAGTTTCTCTTTTCCCCTAGATTTGGTTCTTGGTCCAGAGGAAAAGATTCGTCCGAAGAAACAAGTGAATAAGCTTGCGTACCTGCCCTCATAATGAAGTCTCTGGAATCAGAAGCTGGCCGAAGTTTTTTGTATTGATTTTGAGGTTCAAATGTAGTTGAAAATATGATTTTGGTTGGGGAAGTGCGTGTATGAGTGACTTGAGAGGCAATTGCTAGGTTGGTGTCGGAGAGCCTGGCAGCTGTCTTCAGAAAGGCTCAAAATCAGAGAAGAAAACCCGGCATTTTCCTTGTGCATCGCTCCCATGGTGTTTTCTCGGGCCTATCTTGATTCCTTGTTGCGCACAACTTTATGAGACATCATCAACATGCACCTATACCTTAAAGCCGCCTTCACGTAGTTATTCATTCGGTTGCATCCTTATTATCGCCCCGCCTGCGTCGAGGCGAGCTACTCCACTTTAAGTTACCCCTGTAGCGCTAATATTTGCTCCAAATGTGGTAAGTGCGGGGTAAAAAAATTATTCTAGGACTCTAAATAGGTTAACACTAAATGATCACCCTTCCCTCGCTTATTGTCTACAAAACTTGTCCCAAGGTCGGAGTGGATCATGATCAAGTAGACTTCCATCGGCACAGCACATTTACAACTTCATAATTCTTCATGGATTCTCCAGATGCTCGCCATTCGTGAAATCCAGTGTGTCCATGCTGGAGAGCCGTCGGAAACTTCATGTAGCATTCATACGCGAATTTACGGTGGAGCCTAGGATATATGTAATCGCTTTTTCGAGATAGATTCATCATAAACCTAACTTCACTTTCCTAGCCTCGAAGACCTGTAAAGCTGTCTTTTCAACATAGGGCAAAGTCGCCATTTTTTCCCAATGCAACCACATATCCAAAACCAGCATGTCTCTCGTCTTTGCAAGAAGTCTGGAGTGTCGTCATGTATTGCGTTCTCCACATAATCTGATTTTATGCCATTTGGGGAATTCTTTCCCGTGGAATGTGATAAACAAACATCCCTGGAAGGAATGCAGGTGCAAGCACCTATGCGTGTTGACTGTGGTGTAACATGATCTTCACCTACCTGATTAGCAACATCGATAGCACGTATTCTTCCAACAGCTAGCATTTGAATAATCTTTCAAGCTGCGCGATGTTACTATGATTATACCTGATCAAAACATACTAGATATTGTAGTCCTTATCACAACCCTCTAATTAGATGAACTATACGAAGCCATCGTACGTGTCTGCTCCGGACCTCGGGGAAAATAGACAACACAAACTTCTGATGGTGACTGTGGCTATTGCGGCAGTGGTCTAACTATTTCCAGTAGATTTCCGTGGTACTATCTTTTGAGGGAGATAGTGATAAGCTGCATATATACACCTCTCGGTTTACAAAATGACAAGATCCATAGACTTTCAACGGCTGCATGCAACTATACACTATGAGAGATTAATCTTCAAGCTAAATACTACCTCGGACTTTCGGAGTTCTCTTGACACGGTGTATGCGGTAGTTCTAAATTCGCCTAGTCACTTACGCTTGCCAATCTATGAGTAAGATTTTCTTCTATGCTCTTTGGCCATGGCATCTTGAGTGACTCTTGATCTAAGTTTGCATCCATGAAGATGATCCTCTAGCCATGTAGCATTCATTTGCACAATCATTCCGTACAGCCTGCTCAATCAGAATTGAGAATTGCTTTGAAAGACTTTAGTAGTCGATACCCTAATTGTATTGCCTCTGTTACCTCTCTTTCGTGCATCAGTGGGGCAGCATGAAAATATGTCAAGCGTGTTCTAGAATTCGTTTATCACATTGTAGGATCACAATTGTCAGGGAAGAAGCGGATTGTTTGTCATGTGTTTTGGATTCTATCTAGCATAAGAAATCTTTTATCACAATTGGAAATTTTTTATCATCTTCATTGACAAGTCATGACAGCAAAGCTATCCATCGCGCTCTTGGAACAGCCATCTCAAAGTCTCGACCCAAGCTTTAAAACACGTTAGTCAACTGAGACATCTTTGAGATTTACTACTTACTTCGAGTTGAAGTCAGAGCGACTAGCTTAAGCTTTCTCATAATCTCCATAATTCTTCGTCCAGATTATGTTTGTAGCTGGATCAGGAGTCTTTTCTCGCTTCTTGTAATCACTATAATTCTTGGTCCAGATGATATCTGTAGCTGGATCAGAAGTCTTTTCTTGCTTTTTGTAATCACTATAATTCTTGGTTTAGATGATGTTTGTAATTGAATTGGGAGTCTCTTTTTATTTTTTGTAATCATTATAAATTTTAATTTAAATAATATTTATAATTAAATCGGAAATCTTTTGTTATTTTTTATAATCACTATAGTTCTTGATCCAAATGATGTCCATAATTGGATCAGGAATCTCTTCTAGCTTCTCGTAGTCGCTATAGTTTTTGGTCCAGATAATATCTGTTGCTGGATCAGGGGCTTCTCCGCGCTTAATAGATGCAAGTGGAGCCGCTGTGGCAGCGAGAGATGCCGCAAGCAGCGTAAAAAGGCTTTTGGCAAGCATGATTATGGATGTTTCTAAGTGAAATTGAAAGTCAGGAAGAGAAGGATGGATTTTAGGATCAGGCGTAGATGAAGAAAGGAAGTTCCATTTGAGACTATAGTCGGGGGCTTATATACATATGTTTCCATCTTCCCAGCACGGTGTTTATCAGGCGCTCCAATTTCCGGATCACGAAAGTACGGATATAACACGACTGTGTGCAGGGAATCTCATGCGCAATTTTCTGAGTGCAGATGACTGCAGGAGCACCACAATAAGATTCAACACCGAGAGCTGCCGAAAGCCATTAGACGATCCTTGTGATTTGAAAGACAACCATTTCAGAATATCATTTTACTTTTTCCAACATCTCCGTCATTCACTTCTTCACCTATCTTTCCAGCTCTTTGAATCTCTAGATCATGTCTGAACGTATTCGCAACTTCTTTTCTTACCACAATCTTCCTGAGGTAGAAGACGGCTCTTCGGGTGACGGCGAGCCCTTTCTTCATTCAGTGTCTACCGAAAAGCTTAGAAAATCTCCAAGAACTTCAGTACTTCCATGGATGATTTCTACATTTTCCCTAGCCCTTTGTCTTCTTGCAACTCTTCTCATCAGTTATCCATTCAAACGAATCGCTAGTTATGAGACGGGATTTGCAACAGAGATGCGTAAGTACATAAGTCTCGCTGATATTTTAGATGTAAGAGCGGATTGCTGATGGCTAGACAGAGGCTAGAGTACATATCATTGAGACAGAAGAAGTACATTTCTGGGGTGGCATCAGAGCGCATCCAAACGGTACTTTCTACATGCATTTCGATCCCACTACAGACGTGAGATATGTTGGAAAACCTACAGCAGAGATAGATGAGGCATGGAACAAACTCACCGGTTCGTCCCTACAGAATTTTGTGCCTTTCAGTTGTAACCTAACATAAGGCTAGGGCGATTTGTGACGCTTACAAAAGAAGAGTCTGAGAGTATCAGAGGCGAAATATCAGAATACAAACCGGGTGGGTATCTGGCTGCGTAAGTTTCTAGTATCTCGGTATCCGGCTCAAAACTTACCGTCGAAGGACTGCATCGCAACACAACCTCCATTGCTTAGTAGGCTCCTTCATTCCATCCAGACTTCTCTATACTAATTATGTTGAAGAACTACATCCGGCAATGCTTATACGATGACCATTATCCAGATGTTCACACGTCCAGAGAAGGCATCCCAGAGTACTGGTTACACATCGGTGAGTATTCCCTGCCGTGTATAGTTTGATTATCACTGATAGACCTAGATCACTGTATTGATACACTTCGACAAATGCTTCAACGTGCTGGCGACATGACACCTGTTCCTAAGGCATACACAGAAATGACCCATACTTGCCGAAAGTTTGGAAATCTTCTCGAGCGGACTCAACATAGATATAAGCAAACACTCTGAATGCTACTAAATCTTGTTGGAAGGCAGACTTGAGGATCTGGAAAATTGTCGTCTCGAGGCTCAGTTCGACGGCTAAACCCTTAGCATCAGGTCCACTGATAGACTACTCTACATTTCGTATTTAAGAATGCAAGAATCTTTACATTAAACAATGAATTCCCTATGCCTTAGAAAGCGCCAGTATCAAAATCCATAAATCTCCATTGCTGGAAAAGTAACGTTCGAAATTGTGTCGTTGAAATAACGAATCAGATACGTCGGTTAAAGAGCGGGGTTGTGTTAAAAATTGTGTAACTAGACCTGTGGTTCTTGTGTACACTTGTCAATCATACCTGGGTATCTAGGTAGGTATAATCCTGCAGACCACTCAATATTTTCCCGAAAATCAAATGTCACCAAACTACCTAGGTACGCAACGCGAAAGTCAAGAGCCGGTCTCGCCGGTCCCCTAGCATTATTACCACAGATATCGTGCATTTTACCATACGTGCCGTAAAACTATCACTTCAGAAATAGAAAAGCGCCATAGCGTCGTGTTGAAAGGTGAGTAAGGAGACTCGAAAGCCTATTGGATGAATGGTGCGATGTGCATATATATGCCGAAGACCCCTGAACGTCTGTCCCCTGTAAGCGGGCTCGGTGGGCCCGCTGAAATTCCTGGAAAGTATACAGACGAGTAAGAAATAATACCCAGTCGAGCCAGTCTCGAGCCAGTCGAAGAAAGGTTTCGTTTTCGTGGCCGTCCATATCCAGTCATGCTGCAAGCGCGGCTAGAACTGCAAAACAGAGATGGGGAGAACAATAATTTCTCGCCTACAACAGATACAAAGGATCACTTTCTAAAGTATCCACTCAATTAAATCACGACACGGATAGCCTGGATCGCATACGCTCTCACCTGCATAGTGCCGCCCCCTCAAGGCTTATCCACGGAAGTTAAATGCTTATTTTGTATCCGCCACACGCACCAAGTCAACAAATCTGAAGGTTTCTCCGGGCACTTGCACTGCATTCACGGTTGTCTAACACTAAGAATGCTTGCTTTTGCATCCCTAATTGATAAGCAAACATACAGCCTGGCAGGGGATTGTCGTTAGCCTGAGAGCTCGTATAACACAAGAAGAAGTATTTGCTTATCAGTCCAAAGGGGAAGGAGAGCAATAACTGCTATGCAATAAGATCAAGCTTTTGTGGAGATATTGCCAAGACGGGCGGCTTGCATTCTTTAGATTACTACCACTCGGTTCCATGGTCCTATAGTGGCAGGACACAACAACAGCCATGTAAATACCGAGGAGATGGTAACCTCTCACATCTTCTCATGTATCATTGTGAAGAGGGGCCATTAACCTTGAAAACTGATGCTCACGCGGGATGGTTATTATGGTGCAGAAATGCGAGTCTGCCCCTTTGTGTCATTTGGGTGCCGAAGCGAAGGATTAATTTCACTCCTTGCACGATGAGTTCCCTGCTTTGTTTTGTCTTGCTATCTCGCCAGAACTGGTCGTCTGCATCAATATAATGATCATCTGGGGTAATTATACACCGTCCAATGACAACAATATCCTCATTTGTTTCTAGTGGAAGGTACGAAGCTCCTGCAAGACTGTTTATTATGCTATTGTCAAAAATTCTTACATGCACATGCAAGTTCATAGCATATCAGTCGCATGCAGTATGAATGTCCTATCTTGGTGCAATAAGTCGAGAATCATCTACGTAACACTACTTAGCACAGTCACATACTAGCACGACCACATCTTATCTTTCCCCCGCACTTCGCAGCTAACCCCCCCCAATCCGAATTTCTCGTCTCCGTCTACTACTCATTTGTTTCGTCACTTATTTCCACATTCTACAGCAACAGTCACATACTGTGGAAGAATGGATCCCTCGTGTCCCTCTATTACCGATGGATCAAACCATGAAGAGACACACCTTGAAGGATATGGCAAAACATCCTTTCAGCTTCAGAGACCTAGAGACTCAATCACATCTAGACACAATACCATTATCATTGAGATCTGCCACACGATGACCTTCATCCTCCTTTTTGTAGTAATTATCCTGCTCAGTGTGGTTCTTACCATAGGAAGAGGAGCTACAGCTCATGCTGGCGGTCTTTGCCTCGAGACCTACAATTCACAACAACCAGAGCTAGCAGAGCTAGGAGAAAGTCACCATAGCCACGAATCACATAACAATATGCTCTGGAAAGACTGCGGCAGTAGCGGCGAAGAGGCACAAGCCAAGGGATGTGTCTTCGATGTAATACTCGTAGCATGGTTGCAACCGGAATGCTTCGATTCAGAGCTACACGAGGCGTATCTCTCAGACCATGACTATCCTTTCTGGCTCGATAGGAGCCTTCAAACACCCACAGACTTGGCAGAAGTCAGGCTAGGAAAGCACACAACTGTCTACTCATCTTCGGAGTTTCATCTTGCTCATTGTGCCTACTTCTTGGAACAGTCGGTCAGAGGGTTTAGAAGAGGGGGAATGGTGGATAATGTTACATTAGATAACGAGCACACGGAGCATTGTGCCAGAAGCCTGAGAGATCAATGGCTTCCAGGGATTGGGTTCTCTCCTTTGCACATGGACTACCATTCATGCGGTATGCCTCGAGGATTTGTTGAATCAGAAGCTTGAGCAGACAGCGTCTTGAATGTCTGCCACTGGAGCATTCATCCTAGATGTAGCAATACTTGATCAATGAGATTTCATCGATGTAAATTCTGCTGGCGATGTGTTACCGAGACACTCTTGAGTGATAGTCTTCTTGATGTTTGATGATTGTTCTGAGTTTCGCTTACGCTCCCGTGTGACTCATCAGAGAGAGTGCTTACCAAGCACCAGTAGAAAGAAGGTATACGTGCACGTATTTGGTACATTAGAATAATTTATTAAAAGAATCATTGTACATCGCATCTTAGAGCAATTTCAAGCATTGGTGTCTCATGATGTCTTCCTCGACCCCCACTCTTATCAATATCGGCACTCACTCCCTCGCCCTCTACACTCATGGCCCAGAGCCCAGCAGCTCCAAAGATCCCGTTGTGTTATTCTTAGCGGGTGTAGAAAGCACCAGTCGCATTTGGGCTGCTGTGACACGGCTGCTTTCCTCCTCATTACGCAGCTATAACTACGACCGTTCCGGCTATGGCAATTCTGAGCTTTCACCTCTCGCGCCCACGGCGGAAAATATTGCTTTAGAACTATCCTATCTGATTAAGGAAGCTTCTATCTCAAATCCCCTGATTCTCGTTGGACATTCTTGGGCCGGTGTACTCATAAACGAATTTATTGCCCTTACAGGAAATGGCCCCCACATCGCTGGTGTGGTATTCGTCGATGCGAATCACGAGACCGCGCTACAGGTGCTGAATCCTAATGATGCAGATCTTCAAGCGATTTCCGAAGGCGTTGATTTCTTTTCTGGAATAGGCCTCAGATCCGAGCATAAGTTCACCCCGGAAGAATGGGATGCATTCGACGGTGAGGGAGGAACGGAGAAATACTTACTACAGGCGAAGAAAGAGGAGGATGAATACGCACCGAGTTTTGAGACTTTGCTAAAGAAAGAGTTGCGGAAGAAGCAACCACTGCTTGGAGATAAACCAGTTTATGTAATTGGGAGCCTGAGGAGCAGGGATTGGAGTGGATTGTATAAGGCGGGTGTTGAGAGGGGGAATGGGACTGAGGAGCAGAGGAGTTATGTTAGGAACCTGATCAACATTGCTGATGAGAAGAGCGAGGGGCTTATGAAGGAACATTTGAAACTTTCCACGAGGGGAAAACTTGTGTTTGCTGAAAAGAGTGGTCACTTTATCCTGGTAACGCAGCCGGATATGGTTGTGGACGGAGTGAAATGGGTCTTGGATGAACTGCAAAATTCCTAGATATAGAAGATAAATAGCAGAAATTCTACACCAACACAAATCCAAATATACATAATTGAGCTACATTTTGTATATATCAACAAAGCCTGGAGCGAAGCTCATGTTGGATGCTGAGCTTTGTAGTCAAAGTCGGTTGATACATCTAATTACTACTAGCTTTATAAAGTGTAATGACAACTTATTTATACCTCCAAAGACGTTTGACGCCCTATTCTCTGGTGCGGAAATCACTGGTGAGATGGTGAAATGCTTTTTGAACTGCAAATATAGAGGGTTGGAACAATTTCAAAGATGTAGGGATATAGGAATCGAAAGCGGAATTCGGAAAGGTGCCCTGTTGTTTGCATTTGTTTGTAGCTCAATAGACATTGAGGAGGATGAACTAGACAGGAGAAGTGAAGGACTCGGGCTTGTGGAAAAGTAATATATCGGTCTACAGATTCGATCCTCCACTCTACAAAATAACAATACTCATGAAATTCGCCACGCAAAAAGCAAGAAAACGAAAAATATCATCATCGCCTCAACTCTTACCCACACCTCACGCTCATCGCGTGTAATAAGTTGCAAACAATTCTTATGCAGGTTAGAATATCAAGAATGCTATGCAAGTGATGTTTATAGAGCCTTCCAATACCCGATCAGAACTGAATAGCAACAGGTTTCTCAGTACAGAGTACAGAGCATGAAAAACAGGTGCTGCTGCATTCATTAAGCATGTTCCTTCGAATGGCAATCATTGTTTTAAAAGCATCTATCTCATAACACGGAATCCTGTGTTGTGAAAAGTGTCTGTGAGGTTCAAGATGAGGGTCATCAGATTCATGGTGAGTTTTAATTTCTGACAGGTCCGTTGGCACTTTGTTGCAAAATCTCAAAACCGACGGGTGCAATGCTGATCTTTCAGACCCATTAGCAACGAAGCTACTTCCCAATGGAAGATTCTTAACGCCAAGGTTTGACAGTACGCTGGGTTTGCTGATTCATATACTTAGGATATGCAATGCCATTCACCACCCGAAGCCAAATCCTTACCTCCCACTCACGTTGAAAACTATCTGGATGCAAGTGAAAGCAATCCAAGCTCTAGCAAAGTAGAAGACTCCATATTCGTCCAAGTGGGTGATGATCGAGGCCATAGAACCGAAGCTCGCAATCATGTTATGCGCTGGTTTTGGCGCGAGAAAAAGTTGCAAATGACCAAGAAAGCTAGAGTGCCTTGAATGAAAGAGTCAGCCACTTCGAGGTCAAGGCTTTGACACGTAAAGCGGTGCAAGCTGTCAATTGTTGGAAATAGAGAGGCTCCCGCAACCGCTCGTCTTTCATAGGAATGAACTGTGTTTGACCTGATAACTCAGGTCCACGACCTCTAGGCCCTCTCCGCACCATCATCCGCAAGTGTTTCCGCCTGGCCTCCTTAATATATCCAAACAACATTGCGCGAATTCCACAGCGTTCCACAACAGTAAGGACAATCTCTTCGCGCCTGTAAATACGCAATACTAGACACGAGTACCAACTGGAGACGAACTATTGAAAATTTATCTCGAGTGGTTCTTCACGGAGAAGACTCTACAATCGAACTTCATTGTAGAGCGTGGTATGTAGCTAATTCGATGATAGAGGACAAGATTTTAGAGTTGAGACTTGGAAGATAGTGGAGAGTACGTTGGCTACTTATTTAGGGACATTTTATGAGGAGATTGAAGCTAGTCCAATTTCCTCTGCTACGATTCTGTGTGTAGCCGATAGACACGAGAAGATACATTTAAGCAGCAATGCGGAATGGTCTGAAGTATCTTTTAGATTTGTCACTTGGAATAATGCATATATAGTCCCCCCCAGACCCTTCTCAATCGTACGACACACTATGATTACAAAAGACCTAGGACCTGCTTCCACCACGGAATGATTAAAAGGAACGCTTCCATCCAATTCACTTAACCGGCAGAAGAGTATGCAGATCCTCTGGATATAAAGCTCTAAACCCGGCCCTCGTAAATCCGTCTTTGTAATCAACTTTGAGCGACGCGGAAAGGCCGAATGCATGCACCTTTTCCACCTGCGCAAGACGCTCGATGAAGAAACTTGATTCGGTATCCAATCACATCCCTAACTTCTCGCTGACTCTGCAGATAAAGGGCGGAAGAATATGGTGCTTAAATTCATTAAGCAAAAGACGGTCCATACACGTGGACCCCAGGTTAAAAGTGCACGCACCGAATACGGTAAGCCTCGTCATCTCATGCATGTATGTTGAAAGGCGCCCATTACATCCCAAAGTGGTTTGGTTTTCCGCAGATGAGTGATACAATGCTACACAAAGAAATTTTTATTTGCACCTGTGTGGCTTTCCACTCACCGTCTGAAATAGCAGTGAAAAGTGATGTCAGACCCTGTTTCGACCCTTGAAAAGGCGGACATTAAGAACTTTCTATCGATTGCTCTACCGGTGTTTTGTGTTGCCGATCGGATATGTAAGCTGGATTTTTGCATGGTGTATATGGTGTGTGTGATTGCCATAGCCTATTGAAAGGCTACCAATTTACCTGCGCAACACTCTACTGCCGCTGCCTAGGGATTCGGGAATTTGCGGCGGTTGAAGCTTTTGTAAGCTACTGGAGCCATTTCTGATACTGATTATATATAATTTCGGGTCCTTCGAGACTTTAAAACTATTGACAAACTTTAATCACAATAACAATCATCCTCACAAACTTCAAACTCACACAGAAATATTTACACAGGCTAATCGTACGACTAATATTCAATGGCGATTTCTACTCCAATTTGGTATTCGCCTCCTTCGCCTCCCTCTATGACATTTGATCAAGACGCGCCGTGTGACTTAAGTACCGAAGCATTCGGATCTGCGTTTCCATACGTATGTTTATTCTTTAAATCCATTATAGCAAGTCGTTAATATAACGAACAGACAACCTGTTCGATACCACGAACGGAGAGTATATATACTATACCGACGTACCCGAGTCCATACCTCGATTCCATTGATGTGTCTATGGTGCCAGATTTGGAACAAAGCATTTCGACAGAGGAGAGTAGAAATTATGGATCGGAAAGGAACGAGATGATCAATGAGCTGTCAAGCGAATTGGTAAGTTTTTATAATGATGCCTTGGATTGAAGAGACTTCTTGTTTTCTGAACTGACAAACGAAATGTAGAAACGAGGCCAAAACCGAGCTTCTCGTGAACGAAAGCCCAAATCTCAAGGTAGTCGCACACGAGAGACATCGCATGACTCAACAGATTCAGTAACAGAAAAGACACCCGCACAAAAGATGGTGAGAACAGTTCCCTAATTTTTAGGCTCCTTTTACCTAACGTATCATAGCGTCGGCTTGTACAAAATCGCGTGTCCCAGAGAAATTTTCGAAAACGTCAAGCAAACGAGCGACAGCGACTTGAAAACCAGGTGAAGATACTCAGTACCGAGTTACACAATCTTGGTGATATGTATCAAGATCTACTAAGTCGATACGAGCAGGCACAACGTGAAAAGTTGTCGGGTAGTGAGCTGGTAGGAGGATGGGTAGATGGGGCTGGGACTATGAACCAATTCAACCTTGGTGGGCTTGAATGAAAAATGACGAAGGTGTTTTGGGATATTGTATATTTATGGGTTGAAGATTTGACGGCAACATGAATGTCCTCTCTGCGAAAGTTGATTTATGGCGTTGGGTGTAGGATGGATGGGTAAAACTAGAGCTGATCATAGGCCGATAGCAGGCAAATGGCAGATATCAAGACCAGAAAGCTCCTGAGACAGGGATAATACAAATCAGATATTTTCAAATCAAGAATTCTACCGCCAGTCCAATGGCCGAAAAACTTCTTTCGATTGGTATCTCGTGCTTCAGATGTTCAGATTTAGATTCCGACATTGGGCCGCTCTTGCCGAACTTGCAGCGTAATATAACATTGCAGACTCTGGATAAGGGTGGCAAAGGCGGCTGTACTACAGATGCAAACAAAGAGTGCATGCTCGCGTTCGTGCAGCATACGATCAATTGCCAGTTGATCCCCTCGAAAAGCTGTGCTCAGTGTTGATGAAGCCAGAGTTTCTTCACGCCGATAACCCCGAGCTGAACGCATGTTCTTTCGGGGTTCCCAATACCTATTGTCCGTGAGTCACACCGAAAGTAAGCAAGCAAGGCTGTGTAGCTATAGAAGATTGAGCCCGAATTGCCGGTTGAGAGAATCTATCAACTGTAAATCCTGATTCAATCCACGAAAAAAAAAAACCAATAACAGCTTGACGGACCAAGAGTTGCCCGCAATGAGGTCCCTACCTCGGAGACTGGTGTATAATTATGAGTGACGTTTGTAGCTTGAGTGGATTTTTCTTACAATTTCGTTATGATAATCAGCCTTGATCGCGCAATGCCTTTGATATACAATGCCTGAACGCCTTCCAATGCAATATGGAACACCAACTTCAACCGATATAAAGCATGATACCCCAATGCCCCTTCCTGAGAGTAGGTATTTGTTTCTTTTACTCCTTTCTATACCTCTCGTTCTCCAACTGCCTCCAATCCTTCTCTTCGGGCTCGTTTCCGCTTGTCTCTTTGACTCCGCTTTCAAAAGCTGGCTTTCCAGCATAAAGCATATGTCCACCGGTGTTTCTTTCTCCCCCTCCTTCAATCTCCTTGCTCACAGAAATTGGTTGATTGCCTCTGAATCGTTTGCGCATATCGACTAAACCTCGTTTGCATTCACCGTAACCTGTCTTCAATTGTTGACACTTGGTGGGCATAGTTTCGAGGAGAGGCGCTCGCAGACAATCGGCAGGCTTATTGCGATAAATCATGACACAGTCTGACTCTTGGAGACATTGTGCCAGTGCCGCTCCTGCGAAAATTTAGCGGGGGCATTGAAGAGAGGAAAAGAAGATGCGAACGGATATCTTGACAAGAACTCGGCATACTGAATTAGTCGTCTTCTTGGGATTTGCGATCAAAATACTTTCAGTCTAGTAAATAGTGTACAGGAAAAGGTATAAAACTTCTTTCTAAAAGAGCTTCAATTCGCAGAATGTTGATATTATCATGACATTTCTCGGGTACAAAGAAACCATTAATAAAGTGCCACTCTGATGGGCGGAAGCTACAAATCCCGTGGATTACCCGACCTAGACCAATCTTCAATCAAGCTCCCGCTCTCCCGCTCTCCCGCTCTCCCGCTCTCCCGCTCTACTGCGCTCCCCAGATTCTTCCAATGCGCAAGTAAATAGAGCAATTAGGGACGAAAACTGTGAATTCATCGTCTGGTGTTGAAATCCAATCATTCGAGATAATTGCTATTGTATTTGTCCAACTCTCCCTATTTTTTTCTTTGGTAAGTCTGGATTGAACATTCATCCTCAACCAACCAACTTTTATTTTAACACTTGAGGCGTGAATGAAGTGAAAGCGACATGCGATTTAGCATGTGAAAGTGGATGTGACATCAATGAAGGTCTTGACGATTGGACTCTACGTGTATGCATTTTTACATCTTTGCATTTTTAGAGCCCTGTCCACGTCAATAACCTAGCTTAATTAATACCGTTTCTTTGCAGACCCTTATATTCTAGACCTTCTAGGGCAATTAGCTGCATATATCAAGCTCGTTATCAGTTTTGCGGTCAAGATCGCCTTCTCAGATGGTATAAGACTATCTCACCGCGCAAACAAAGTCCTCGATACGATAGATGCTACCCAACAAAATGTACATTCCATTCATCGGACGGCTCTGCCCGTAAGTTTTCTGCTCAATTGTTATATATGGCAGTCGCTGATCAATCATATAGGAGCGAATATTTGGCACTGATAAGCTCGTTCTTTCTTGTTGGGTTAGAAGCAATAATTAGGATACTGACATTGGCACTTCGTATGTTCCAACCCACGACTTTTCATCGTCGGAAAGTTTGCTAACAATGGCATAGCGTCGACGATTATAAAACTATGCTATCGAGGTTCGAGGCGCCTTTTCAATCGATTCACATCTGCAGCAGCTAAGAAATCAGAGACACGAAAGCAAGGTTGGAGCAGTCTTTCAGCAGAACCTGAACGAGGAGAAGGACTGACAGACTCAGATATATCCACCTCCATTCGAAATGCTTCAGATTTTGTAGATCTCTGCGAACTAGGTGGTTATTACGCCGAAGAGCATGTTGTACAAACCAAAGATGGCTATCTGCTATGCACTCATCGACTCGGTTGGAAGAAAGGAGAAGAAAACACAAAGGTCAATAGTGGACCTGGTAGCATTAAAAAGCCTGTTGTGTATTTACACCATGGATTGCTCATGAATAGCGAAGTCTGGGTTTGCTTGACTGATAAGGAGAGATGCTTAGCTTTTACCTTGGTGGAAAGAGGTTATGATGTTTGGGTAAGTTGAGCCCATGTCAATCTATGCACACATGAGAGACTAAAGATTTGTAGCTTGGAAACAATCGCGGAAATAAATACTCTAAGAAGTCTATCCACCATTCACCGACGGACACAGCTTTCTGGGACTTTTCAATGGATGAATTTGCCTTTTATGATATCCCTGACACTATTCAATACATCCTTGACACAACCTCTGCGCCATCGTTATCGTATATTGGATTCTCTCAAGGAACTGCCCAGGCTTTTGCGACTTTAGCTGTCCATCCGAAGCTCAATGATCAGATCAATGTATTCATTGCGCTTGCGCCTGCTATGTCACCAGCTGGTCTCTCAAATGGTATAGTGGATGCACTCGTCAAAGCATCACCTCAGGTTCTATTTCTTCTTTTTGGTCGTCGCTCTATCCTCTCATCGGCTACTATGTGGCAATCCATACTGTACCCTCCTATCTTCGTGCGTCTCATTGATATGGGGTTGAAATTTCTCTTCGGCTGGCACGCCAAGAATATGTCCACCTCACAAAAGCTCGCGGCATACCCTCATCTGTATTCTTTCACGAGTACTAAAGCAGTTGTTCACTGGTTTCAAATCATCCGCACGAAGTCATTCCAAATGTACGATGACGAGCCCCAACCCGTTCTAGGTGGCATAAACAAATACACCAAAGTTGCGAAATTTCCAACTCGCAACATCAAAACACCAATTGTATTGCTGTATGGCGGCAGCGACTCACTAGTCGACATAAATGTAATGCGAAAAGAGCTCCCGCCTCAGACAACTCATATTGAAATCTCTCACTATGAGCATCTCGATTTCCTGTGGGCTCGAGAAGTCAACACTCTAGTCTTCCCGCATGTTTTCGACGCCTTGGAGTCCTTCTACAATGCAGAACACTCGAAAGAGGAGTATGAACATTACAATCGCGCCCGTACCAACTCAATGCGCATTGGGGCCATGAACTCCAGATCATTGACTTATCTTAGTGAAGAAGACAGTGGGAGTCAATCCTTGGGAAGTGGAACCTATGTCGATGCAGATCCAATCGCCATGATACAGCCTGGGGACGAATCATCAGCCGATCTCAATACGCCTGAAAGCACATACAACCATAATAGTGCACGAAAACGCGCTAAGCTCCATTCCAGGAACTCATATGTACACGATGACGACTCAAGCGAAACTTCGCCTGCTGGCGCTAATACATCTAATACTCCCTTTCCCCAATTCGAAAGTTCTCATCATGCCCTGAAACCTAAATCTCAGCCACATCCTGAAGGCGGAGAAGAAATACCTTCTACGCCTCCATCCCATTCACACTCTTCCCAACCAAGCTCCCGTATCCCTATCACAACACCCTCCCCACAAATGCATTCCCGATCCACTCCCGCTCGTTTCAGGAAACCTCTACGTAGTGTTTCTATTGGCAGCAACATTTCTTTCGACACAAAAGGAAATAAAAGTAGACCCGGAAGTATAGGTGGAAGTGGTATTAGTCTAGGCGTAGGACGTGCTGTAGGGGGTGTTGTATCGGGCTTAGGAGAAGGGAGTAGGAGTAAAGAAGATGTGTATATTAGTGATGGAGCGAGGAGTAGGGGAGATAGTAACGCGAGTGCGAATGATACGGGGAAAGAGAGTGGGGGGAGTATGAGGGGGTTCGGGGGAGTATTGAGAAGAAAGTCGGAGAAGAAGGGGTGTGAGGGGGGTGGTGAGGGTGTTTAGTATGGATTAATGAGAGAAGATATTGGGCAATGGATATATGATTGTTGGAAATAATGTATAAGGGAGAGTACGGTCTTAAGACTAATCCATTCATCGGCATGACAGATTGAATGATCTCGAATCCCGATGTATTTGTATATAAAAGGAAGAAGTATGAAGAGACGAGATGATATTAGAATGTTCCGCATTTACTCATAGGAACGGGCGTTTGAATTGGATTGGATTTGGTGTAGATGGAGGAAGAGGAGGCTTCTTGATTTTTGGTTCCAGGGCAAGCAAGGTACCTAGGTACATATAGCATATCTACTCAAGCACATACACATATACAGATGACATATATAATATATATAATATTACCTTTTCACTAGCGAGCAAAATGATAATGCCAATCTGAACTTACCTGATAATTTCATGGTTGAAATGCTCGAAACTCGCCGGAATTGGATTCTTATCGAAGAAAACTAGATTCGTTCTGTTTGATAAAACGTTGAGCGCATCGAGGAGATTGGATTTCATTTCCTTTCAGATTCCGAAGTTGCTGGTTTCGCGAACTGCTCGCTGAGTAGGTAGGTGGGTAGGTAGGTATCTAGTATGTGTGAGATTTCCATTCAAGATGGATCGTCTTTAGCTACCTACCTAGCTATGTATGTGTAGGAAGTCCTAGATAGTCAGATACTTGGGTAGGTTCTGCACGAATAAGAAACTGGCGTGTCTGCACCGGAGAAAGGTGTTGAGTTGTTCTATAATTCTTTTCTGGATATTGTGATGTGTTGTGACATACATTTATTGTATTTGCATAGCTGATTTACCTAATGAAAAAAACACATTCGCCTAATGCCTCTCCTCGTTCTTTGCTTCTGTCCCTTCCTAATTGTTTGTTTAATAGTTTATTAACATATGCATTGGGAAACATTTCCAATTTTTCATTATCTGAGGTTTACAAAAAATTCAATACAAATACAACGCACTAAAGGATATCTCTAATTTACATCTCCGTCTCTTTTCCCTTCAATTATCCAAATCTGGATATACTTGATGATTCGTAGCAGCCCACCAGTGGATACATGTCCTCCCAGGTGAAGAGGACGGATATGCCGCAACGGATCTCAGCCAAAAGTTCATCAAATACAAAACCAAAACTCTTACAACAAGCAATACAGTGTCAAATATTAAAACTATACCCCGATCTACAACTCCCCCACTTCCCCTTTGATATCCCCAATCTTCTTCCCTTTCTCTGCTCCTGGAGTCTCCAACCCAAAAGTAACTAATAATGCTACTCCCATAAGTCCCACACCCCCAATACTATACGCCACTTCTCTTCCCGCCCACCAATAGACACTTGTGAACAATAATGGTCCTAGCCCTCTTCCAAGTTGTCCCCAACTTCTCAGGTTTCCCAATTTGCCACCCCTTTCATCCTCGCCTGCTTCGAATGAACTAAGTGCATTGAGACCCGTGACCACTGTTGCGGTTGTGACGGCCAGAAGAGTAGTGGCTAAATAGAGACCTGCAACGGTATTGATGCGAGCGAGGAGAAACAGCGCGCCGAGACACGAGACTACGCCTATGCGAACGGAAAGAAGAGGCGGAAGACGTCGGGTTACTCCTCCTTGAAGAAGAGATGCCACAAGCCCCATATAACCTAGAAGACGACCATTACGTGCGGACGTATAGCCAAAAAGATCGTATGTCATGAAAGGAAGGGAGAATTCCATACCGGAGAAGAACAGGATGAAAGAAAGATGGGTAAGGTTGAGTAGGAAGTGGGAGTTCGTTCTTGGCTGCTTCTTCACCCCATCAGTACTCGAGGATACCATTTTAGCTTGCGTCTTCTCAGTCGAAGAACCAGCTGCCTTGGTAACCCCATTTGTGGCAGCCGGCTCCCCATTCAACTTGGCCTGCGCAACCTTGCTGGGTAATGTCTCTGGCAAACACATATACAAATAAATTGTTTCCGTCACAATCAAAAACAAAGAGAATCCAGCCGCAGTAGCAAAAGGATTTGCCTGTACAGTACTGATTGTACTAAGCCAAGCACCTAATGCAGGTCCAAACGTAAAGCTTATGCTGAAACATATCCCCACCAATGCCATGGTTGCACCA